ATAGGAGCTTAAATTCCAAAATGATTTTTGAAAGGGACCTGAAGATCAGAGATAAATAAAATGTGACATATAATTTTTGTGACAAATGTTTTACTGTTTTTATTGGCAAATTCATTGATAGATTATGCTATAATACTTGAGAAAATGACTCTTTAACTGTTTGTCAAGTTTTTTTGTTCTAATCTTTTATATTCAGATTTGTTTCCTAAACTCATGAGTCTCTTTGCAATGTATTTCTGTTTTGGTGACTCTACATGTTGTGAAACTAATATTCTCTTCCTCTTGATCTTCAAATCTACAAATTATTGAAGTTAATTTTGAAAAGCATTATCTTAAAGCTTAAAAAGTGAAAGACAAACAATTTCTCCAAAATTTTCAATTTTTGGTTTCTTTTCATTATTTCATATGCTGCTTTTGGAACATACTTGAAGAAACAAATTACTTCTATTTCAAACTCAAAAACAAACAAAAAAACCTATTTGAGTATAACTACATAATAATAGATAGTGATCCATATATAGCCTTTATAGTGTTCATTATTAGGTATTTCACACTACTTCACAAATCGGTATAAAATTTCTCACCCCTTTTTATAGTACTTTACTAATAAATGATAGCATTGAAATACCACCGTGACAAATAAGTGGAATTCTCTAATTTTCAAAAAGTGAGTTCTATAATTTTAAGATCATGCACGAATATGATATCAAACAGATTTTCAAGTCCCACAACTTGTTTTTATATAAAATTAACAACTTATGTTTAACAGTGAGATTAGCTTCTGTGGCTAAGCCTGCAGCAGCTTCCACTCAGTTGTGGCATTATTGCCAAATAGCAGAAAAGAACACAACCAACATTAAGTGACTTACTTAGGTTGCAGAGATGATAAATACTATAACAAGAACATACTTTTTAACTACCTTATTTTTTGGAGTGGGTATGTCTTACAGAAACTTGCAGTGTAATATACTTTCATATAAAATCCTGATTGAATTACTGAGAAACAAAAGGCACTAAGAACTAATATTAATGTTTTATTATACAACATGTAAAATGAAGTCAAAATATAATCAAAGGGTCTGTGTGTGTAACTTGGTCTGATATTAGTCATTATGTATTCATTCATAATTCATTACAACAGCATAAATCCACTGGTATGTAGTCAAAGAGCCAATGTTGAAGCACAAACTATTATCAATCTATAACAAGAGGACAAAGAGAGAAAGTTAAGTTTTTAAAAACTTATAGCAATTTGATATAATATTTGTTGAATATAATAACCAAAAATATACATTTGTATTTTATCTTTGTTTAAATTTCATGTTCTAATAGTTTTAATCTGTTATCCTTAAGAAGAATACTTAAAGAAATAACTAAAAATTGGTATTTCACAAGAAATAATTTGACAAGTACTTAGAGAAAAATGATTGAAAAATCTTAAAGCTTGATTTTTTCAGTCATTTTGTGTGCATGACGTCAAAAGTGTCTCTAACATACTGAGGGTTTTTTTATGCAGAGTTCTATCACCTGTTTATTAGAAAATAAAGTAGATAAGTGTTACCTCTACATAACGTTAGTTTTTTGGGCTCCATTGAGAGAGAGAGAGAGAGAGAGAGAGAGAGAGAGAGAGAGAGAGAGAGAGACCGACCTTTATTGTAGGCAGGGAGGGTTGCAAAAGACTGCAAAGTTAGCCCTGACCAGAACAGAGAAATGTCTGGACTTTTATTAGGTTTGGCTGGGGTGGAGTTTGGGGCAGTGGGCAAGGTGACATATTATCACCTGATTGAATCATTGGCTCATATGACAAAGGAAGAGGAAGATTTATCCTGGGTGAGGGGAGAAGAAGTAGAAAGTCGACATGCAATTATTTCTGTGGTCTTACGGCCCTGTTGGACCACTGCCATGATGACTCGGTGAATGTCACGTGGGCAGAAACCCATCTCAATTCTTCTTTCATTTCCTTCCTCTTCCCTCTCTCCATCCTCCCTCTATCACTTGGTCCCCTTCTCATTTGAAAAAGAACTGTCTCTTTTGTTCCTGTTCTATATCTTTTATTTAGCTCTTTTTATTTGGGGTTTCTCATGTAAGATAAACCATGATAATCTTGTGTGTCTGACTTATTTCACTTAACATAATGGTCTCAAAATATAAGTATATCCGTTTTCCTTCAGGTGACTCTAGTCTATTTTTCTGTACTGCAGAATAGTACTCCATTGTTTATCAACACCAAATTTCTTTATCCATTCATCTTTTGATGAACATATATAGCATGTGTCTAAGATTTAAGTGTTATGAATTGTGCTGCCATAAACATGAGTATACATCAGCACTGTAATATGATTTTAACTCTTTTAAAGATACTTAGAAAGGGAATAACTCAATCAAATAGAATTTCAAGTTTGAATTTTTGAGTACTCTCCACACTGATTTCCATCACAGTTATATTAGTTTACATTTACATCGATTTAGAAGAGCCCCTCTCCCACTGTGCTTCTTGTCGCATTGTTATTACTTAATTTTTGATGGTAGCCATTCTTTCTGGAGTAAGATAGAATCTCAGTGTCGTTTTAATTTGCATTTTTGTAGTGGCCAGAGATGTTGAACATTTTTTTCATAAAATTACTGGCCATTTGTGCTATTGAGAATTGTCTGAAATTTATTTTGCCTGTTATTTGATTGGGTCTTTTATTTGGGGTCATCACATTTTTTTTATATTCAAGATGTTAGTCCTCTGAGAAATAGCTGGCAGAAATTTTTCTCACTGTCTAGGTTATCTCTGTATTCACTTGGTTATTTTCTTCCCTGTGCAGAAGTTTTTTGATCTGAGATGATCCCATTTGTTGATTCTTGGTACTAATTCTTGTGTAACCAAAATTTTGTTCAGAAAATCGTTGCCTTGGTCTATGACTTCAAGTGTTTAGCCAATTTTATCATCCATTAGATATTTCTTTTTAATATTTAGATTAGATATTTTTATTTGATATAAGTACAGGATGTAAGACATGGGTCTAGATTCTAGATTCTTTTTTTTTTTTTTTTTTTTTTTTTTTGAGATAGGGTCTCGCTATGCAGTTCAGACTGGCCTTGGGCTCACTTTGTACCCCAGGCTGGTCACAAATTTGCAAGGATCCTCCTAATTTAGCCTCCTAAGTGCTGGGATTACAGGAGTGGGCCACCACACAGTGCTAGATTCATTCTTATTCACATGAATAATCAGTTTTCCCGGCACTATTTATTGAAGAGCCTGTCTTTTCTCAACTATGTATTTTTGGCCACTTTGTCAAAGATAGTTGAGATAGTTGAATATATTTGGGGTTTGTGATCTCCATTACGTTCCATTGACCTATCTGTCTGTATCTGTTGTATTTCAGGGCTGTATAGAGAACAACTAGAATCAGGACATGGATTTTATAATATTATTTTTATAATGGTCACCAGGAATTAACACAAAAAAATGCAGGATATATATCCGTAACACCAAAGACATAGAATATTTAGTCAAGGGACTAAATCCCACAGCAATGTCCCACATGAGTCCAGATGAAAACTCAGAGCTCATGACAATTCTTCCCACGAGTCCAACTGGAAGTCCAGAGCCCACAAAAAGGACTCACACCAGTTTCTTTTATGGATCCGTGCCGGGAAGGCCCAAAGGTCAGTGGTGGGAGCCAGAAAATCCATGCCAGCAGGGTGAAGGAGCTGTGCTGGTGGGATGAGGGGTCTATGCTGGAGCCGAGAAGTTACACTCACAACGAAGACCAGGGCTGTTCTGAAAAGTACCACAGCCATCCTCAATGACATGGAAGCCCTGAGCTCCTCAGAGGACAAGCACAGTCAGATGTGTGCCAGGAAGCCAGCTGATGAGTTTATCCTGGAGACCAAGCAGCACATGTCTTCCCCTCCTAAGTCAGGAATCAATGCTCAATGTGAAGACCAAAGCTTCTACAGAATCAATGGCTCAATCAGCAACTCGGAGAACCCACAATGCCTCAATGCAACAATGCATTAACACATTAATGCCTTTTTTCTCCTTTTCCACCTATCTATGCTGGCAATTTTCCTCAGATAGGGCACCTTCACGCAATGCCATGCTGATGTAATACAGCTGGCATTAAGTTGATCACCAGTCCTTAATCCATACCAGTATTGGTGCTTTAATCACTATAGCTTCATAATGTAATTTGAAATACACAACAGTGATGCCTCCTGCTTTGCTCTTATTATTGAGGATTGCTTTTGACATTCTAGGTCTTTTCTGGCTCCATATGAATTTTATGATTGTTTTCTGTAGTTCTGTGAGGAATGCTGTTAGTATTTTGATCGGAATGTGTTAAATCTGTGTATCAGTTTTCAAATATGGCCATTTTTACTACATTGGCTCTGCCTATCCAACAACATTGGATATCTATCTCTCCATTTTCTGATATGTTCTTTAGTCTCCTTTTTCAGAATATTCAGAGGAGTTTTTGTTGTAGATGTTTTTCACTTCCTTGATTAGATTGTTGTAAGTACTTAATTTTTCTTACTCTTACTGTGAATGGTATTATTTTCCTAAATTCTTTCTCAATGAGTTCATTATTGGTGTAAAGAAACACTTGATTTATGTGTGTTGATTTTGTATCCAGCTACATTTCTGAATTAGGCTATTCATTCTAGAAGTCTTTTGGCAGAACTGTTTTACTCTTCTATACAGAGAATCATGTCATCTGCAACCAGTATTATGGTAGTTTTATTTTTTCCCTTCCTATAAATATCCTTTTTTTTCCCCTTTCTCTTTCCTGATTGCTCTGGCTAATGTTTCAAGTACTGTATTGAAAGGAATTATGATAATGGACATTTTTGTCTTATTCCTGATTTTAGAGCAAAATTTTTCAGTTTTTCCCCATTTATTATGTTGGCAGTAGTTTTATTGTAAGTGGCTTTTATCAAATTGAGGTGTTATCAAATACAACATTTAAAACTTTTTTGATACTTATTAATATTGTTGTTGTATTAACTAGGCTTACATGGAATACCAGGAGAAAAGGGAGATCAAGGACCTCCTGGATTTGATGTTCCAGGACCTCCTGGTGAGAGGGGCAGTCCAGGGATCCCTGGAGCACCTGGTCCTATGGGACCTCCAGGATCACCAGGGCTCCCAGGAAAAGCAGGTGTCCCTGGATTCCCAGGTAATTTAATATTTTCTCTCATTTTTGACTTATAAAATTGACATTAATACTACTCTTAAGTTTTTCTCGTCCTACTTTTTTCTGAATTGACTCATCTGTTAAGATTGTTAAAATAACTTTGATTGCAGGAGACTCCATTCACTGTTTGCATTACACTTATTTCTCTGAATTCTTTTTAAATATTGTTGTACAATAAAGAACCCCAAACCTCAATAGTTAAACCAACATTTTTATTTTGCTCAAGATTCTGCGATCAAAAGTCAAGGGAATACTGGGTTATTTATCTGTAACTATAACCCCAACTAAGGTAGTTAGGTCTGGAGTGTTTCAGGAGGTCCAGGTAGAGGCTGCAAGATTTCTTATGATCTAGCTTGAGAGTTATGCAGTCAGTTAAAGATAAAGCAGGGTCAGCCTAGATTCCAGGGCAGAGGGGTAGACCAAGTTGTGTATATTGGTAAATATTCTTCATTGGGACTCATTTTTGGAGATTAGTTGTTATAATGAGCATCCATAGTCCTGGATATTTGCAATAATGGGTGCTAAATTTCTGTGATAGTTTTCCAGCTGATATAGTAACACTTACTTTTTATCTCTCTAATGTCAAAAGAGGCAAATGTTATTTGTTGATATTCTTCAAAGGTACCAAAGGCGAGATGGGTATGATGGGACCTCCAGGCCCACAAGGACCTTTGGGAATTCCTGGCAGGAATGGTGCTCCTGGTTTTAAAGGTAATATTTGGAGTTTGTTAACTAATGTACAGGAGAAAAAAATACATAATATATTTATTTTACTACTTTAAAATGAATACTATGTAGTATTTTGTTTCTATGTGACATGGCGTTTTAAATTTTGTGGCTTACTTAGTTTGGATAATGCGAAATATGATAAATGTTTATCTCAAATATAAGGACTAAATTTTTTGTTTTTTGGTCAAAGAAATCCACAAAGAAGAGATATTGTTATTTGAGTTTTAAAGTGTGTATGCACTCAAGTAATTCATAGATAATAACTTAAATTGCATACATGTTTTGGGGGCTATGAGTCCACCCAACTCTCAATTATATAAATAATCTTTATACTTATTAATTGTGATAGATAAATCTGATCTGTTGTGTCTTCCCCATACATGATGATTTTAGGTGATAATGGCTTACCAGGTCACCCAGGACTTCCTGGCCCTCCTGGAGAAAAAGGTGGTAAAGGAGAACCTGGTCTTCCAGGCCCTCCTGGGCCAATGGACCCAAATCTCCTAGCCTCAAAAGGAGAAAAGGGGGAGCCTGGCTTACCAGGTGAGTGAATATAATTATATACTTGTAAATACTATTTTTCAGTATGTCTACATTTTTGTTCTCTTTTGTTGCTGGAAGTTTAACCTATAGGGGTTGTTCATGCTAAGCACATATATTAGTACTGAGCTATACCACGAGCTCCTGAAGTTCGATTTTAAAATTATATGAAAATTAACTATGTAGGATTTATTTACAAAAGGTATTAGGTGCATCAAATTTTAGTAATGAATATTAATTTTCACTTGATTCATATTGTTGCACTGATAATTTTTATTTGAATGTATTCTATGTTGTGTACCTATCTTGAGCTATGAGATTTTAGTTTTTTAATTTTATTTAAAGAGGAAAAAAAGAAAAGCAGGAAAAGGGTAGAAATAACACATCATTTCAAAAAATAAACAGTAATAAATCATTAGTTGATAAATTGAATACTGTAATCATAGAAATAGTTGTTCAAGTTACAAAATGAAAGCACACAAAGTGGCCATTCAAACAGTGAGACTGCAAACTGTTCTGTTCGACAATCCAACAAAAACTTAGTAATATGGTTATCAGTCCTACACATTTAAACATACATAGTTATATCCTTTAGAGCACTTTCTTTTCCTCTTTTTTACAAAAGCAGTTACACATTTTGAGTGTAATTATTCCTACAGTTCTTATTTCTTTTCACACTAGAGACACAATGTGATATTTATAAATATGATTCTTATTTATTTCACTAATAAGGATAGTCTCAGGTTGTCTGCATTAACCTATGAAGGCCTCACGATCATCATTTTTTATAGCTGAGTAATGATCCATTGTATAAAAATACCATTTCTTTTTTATCCACTCCGCAGCTGATGGACATCTTGGTTGTTTCCAAGATTTAACTATTACAAATTGTACTGCTATGAACCTGGGTGGACGTATATCATTGTGATATGACCTTTTCAGTTTTTCTGGGGAAAAACCCAGGAGGGGAATGAGTTGGGTTGAATGGAACTTCCAATCCTAGTCTTCTGAGAAATCTCCGTAGTGATTTTCTTAGTGGCTGCACCAGTCTGCATTCCCACCAACAATGGAGCAGTGTTCCTTTTTCCCTGCAGCCTCACCAACATTTGTCATCAGTTGTTTTTGTGATGGCAGCTATTCTTTCCAGAGTGAGATGAAATCTCAATGCTGTTTTAATTTGCAATTCTCGAATGACCAGTAATGGTGAACATTTTTTACATATTTATTTGCCATTTGTATATCTTCATCTGAGAACTATGTGTCCATCTCAGATGCCTATTTTTGGAGAGGGTCTTTGGAATTGGGAGGCTTGCTGTTTTTCAGTTCTTTATATGTTATAGATATAAGTCTTTTGTCTGAGAGGTTGCTAGCTAAAATTCTTTCCCAGTTTGTGAGTTTATTTTCACTCTGTTGCTGATTTCTTTTGAAGTGCAAAACTTTTCAATAATATGAGATCCCAGTTGATGATTCTTTGAAGTGTTTCCTGTGCAGTTTGTGTTTTGTTCATAATTCTCTGCCTACCCCTATGTCTCCAAGACTTCTGCCTACCTTGTCTTCCAGTAGATTTACTGTTTCTGTTTTTATATGTAGGTCTTTGATCCATTTTGACTTTAGCTTAGTGCATGTTCATAGGCATGGTTCTAGTTTGCGTCTCTCCATGTGGAGAGCCAATATTTCCAAAACCATTTATTAAAGAGGCTATCCTTCTTCCAGTGAACATGTTTAGCTCCTTTGTCAAATATCAGGTGGCTGAGTGTCTTTGTAGTTGTGCTTGCATCTTCTAATCTGTTGCACTGATCTTCAAGTCTATTTCTTTGCCAGTACCATGCTGATTTTATCACTGTGGCTTTGTAGTATAGTTTCAAGTAAGGACTTGAGACGTCTCCTGCCTTGCCTTTATTGCCCAGAATCGCCTTTGCTATTCTAGGTTTCTTCTGTTTCCAAATGAATTTTAAGAATGTTTACTCTAGATCTGTGAGGAATGTTAGTAATATTTTATTTTGTTTGGGGTTGCATTAAATCTGTATAACAGTTTTGAGAGTATGAGGCAGTCACCTTCAAACCATTTAGGAAGTAGTACGTGGTAACAATAGAGAGAAAAGGATATATAACCACAATTGCTGAGAAAACAGATTTCATTGTTTAGGAAATTTGTTGGTCTTTTGCATGTTTTCCCTTGAAACCAGTTTTGGATGACAGGTGCATTGTTGTATTGCAGTGTTTTAATATCCATATAATACTTGGCTTTTAAATAAATTTCACTGTTATCTGCTTGGGCAGAATAAAAAAGTCTTGGTCTGTGAGTAGCCATTCTCAGCACTGAAGGAAGTCTTGAGTCATGTGTATGAAACAACTATGTTATTATAGTTGTTTTATTTGTTTTATTAGAATTAAGTAAGAAATGAAGTGCATGAGACTATTTTAATTATAAAAACTTTTTTCTATAAAGGTGTAACATGTTCAGAACAAAACATCAACCAACATACAGATAAACATAAATCTGCATACAGACCATGTACAGAAAATAATTTTTAACAAGTATTTACAAGCGAAACTCTGTATTTTTTCAAACAGTAATAACTTTACTATTTACTTTGGCACTTGTAGAAAATTTGTAATTCTTTTTGTGTCCTAACCATTAATATTGCCAGTTTTGTACATGAGTATGTGTATGTACAAAAAAGTTTTGTTTCCCAATCAGCAAGATTTGGTGATAATTATCCTCACAAATATTTGAAATATTGCAGTTCTGTACAGTCACAAAAGAAGCTAATTTTTATTACTGCTGAAATGAAGTACCTTCCTTGACTTATTCTCTTGGGAGTCCTCTTTTCTCTTGCAGCTATGCTTTCTGTATAATCGAGACAGAAATATACAATTGACTTTACTGTAGCCCTATTAAAGAAAATCATAGAAGGGCCAGGGATATAGCTCAGTGGCATAAGTCCCTGCCTTAGCAAGCAGAAGGTCATGAGTTCTATTTCCTGGTACAAAAGTCATAGAATTTAAAAAGAAAGCCTAGGAATTTTTCATTGTGTGATGCTGAGGACCAAAGAAAAAAGTGACTCCATTAAGTGCTCTGTAATTCTTGATTTTAGGTAAATTAAAAAATAGCAGGTTTTGGTATGAATACAAGACTAATGGTTTGTACTATATCAGAATATCACCAATTCCTCTATTTTATGTATGATTCAAAATGTGAATAGCTTGTTTTATCACAATCATTTGACAGATTAACAGTAGTGTAACTTGTCTCTCCTACTCATCCTTGAAAGGTGTTCCTGGAGTCTCAGGACCAAAAGGCTATCAGGGTTTGCCTGGAGACCCAGGGCAACCTGGACTGAGTGGACAACCTGGACTACCAGGACTACCAGGTAGGCAACATAGACCACTTGTGGCTTTTGGATAAGCTGATGCTGAAAAGTAATTATGTATATGCATGTTTGTTGATGTTTTGAATTTGGTCATAGTAATATGCTTGAACAGCAACTAAAGTCTGACACTCTTCTTTGACAGAAATGCTGCCATGTAGCCAAAGTTTCAGCAGACAAGATTTCTGAGGTGTTTTGTTTTATTCATTCAGTTTCTTTTTTGGCAGCAGTGTATACTCACAAGTGTGATTCAAATTACATACTATGTTTATTACATCATTGCAACATACATAAATAAAACAATTCCTTGGTAGGAATCTTAATAATTTTTCCTTTTCCAGGTTTTTTTTTTGGCCTACAAAAAAGTCAGTTATTAATCCATGCAATAAAAGATAGCTGCCAATTCTATTTTTAAAAAAATCTTCTAGGGATGAAAACTTTACAGCCTCCCTGTGTAGTCTGTTATAGCATTAATCACTCTTACGCTGAACAGTTATTTTTTCTTATTCCACACAAAACTCTTTCTTACTATTTAAGCCATTTTCTTTTAGTTTGATTCATAATGACATAAAGGCTTTTCTCATCCTTGTAAAAGCCCCGAAATTCATTTATTTACGTTTCTATACTGTGTACCTTTGATGTAGTCATAAAGAGAAATTCTCTCACTGTCTCTCCTTCACATCTTCAGCACTCTCTTCTCCAGTTTAAAAGTCATTGTGAAAGAAGGTAACAGTAAGGTTCTTGGAAGGCACTTGCATGACACCCGAGAACTCAGACCAGACATGGATGCCCTAGGAAGAATGTGCAGAGTAGACATGCCAGGCAGCTGTGATTGTCTGATACCTGTACATCAACATTTACCTCTCTCTGGCCTAATGCACTAGGATCATACCATGAAAGGTTTCCACCTTTATTGTTCCTGGTCTCTCATAATTAGGTTCTACGTGAAAATTTCTGAATATTTATAAACAGATTCAACAGTAAGAGTAGTTATATATACGTAAAATATAGCACCTTGGATGATTTGAATTCTTTTAGGAAAAGAAAGAAAGTACCTTGTTAATTTTTTTCTTCAATAAAGTTGTATTATAAGACCTGTATTACCATAGTCACATTGTAAAATGTACCTAAGGAGATTTCTTAGGTATCTGTTGCCTGTTTCATGTTCAGTTACATCTGTGTACCTTATTAAGAATTTTTTTTTAATATTTGGGTGGGTTTTTTTGTTTTATTTTTAAGGCAAAGTCTCACTATGCAGTTCAGCCTGGCCTTGAGCTCACTTTGTAGCCCATTCTGGTCTTGAACATGCGATGATCCTCCTTCCTCAGCCTCCTGAGTGCTGGGGTTACAGGCATGCAACACACTCCCGACATATATTAAGATTTAATTCATCCAAATCTGTGCTAGTGTTTGTTTGATTTAATTGTACCAATTTGATTTTTTTAGGTCCCAAGGGTGACCCTGGTCTCCCGGGCCAGCCAGGACTTATAGGACCTACTGGACTTAAAGGAAACATAGGTGACATGGGTTTTCCAGGTGGGTGATGAAAAACTCCTAAATATTAGTATCATTAAGGGAAGGCAGTTAACTATCCTTTTATTAGAATAGAGACTAGCAAAGAGCCTGGAAATGTAGTTCAGTGGTAAAGCACTTGCCTAGCATGTATGAGGCCTTATGTTTGAACCCCAGCACTACTAAAAGAGATAACCAAACAAATGTGTGTTGGTAGAATTGAACTGAGGCAATGTCTAAAGTGATCAGACCTCTTGTTACAAAAATATTTGAAGTTAATACTAATGAATAGAGATTTAGAAACTTTAAAAGTTAGAATTCAAACATATCTCTTCTCCAGCAATATCCTTTTCATGTAAACATCCTTAAAATCAGCTTTTATGTATTCCTGATTGTGAAGCTCAAAACTCAAGGGTCTTTTTGAAATCTTTTTGCTTGTTCATATATGTCTTAGATGTGCCACAAGTGAAAACGTTTTTTGTGACACAGGTATTGAACCTAGGGCCTTGGCACGAGTCTAGTCTCAGAAGTACCAAGGATTAAACCCAGGGCCTTGCATGTGGTAGAATGCTAGGCAGATGCTCAATAACTAAGATATGTTTCAAGCGTAAGAATATTTTTTAAAATATTTCAACAGGTCCTCAAGGTGTGGAAGGACTCCCCGGACCTCCTGGAGTTCCGGGACAACCTGGCTCTCCAGGATTACCTGGACAGAAAGGAGATAAAGGTGACCCTGGCATTTCAGGCATTGGTCTTCCAGGTGTTGCTGGCCCAAAGGTAATTACATACTAATCAAATGTCTCAGCAACTTGTAATTTTTATTTAATATTGTGTTTATTACTAATTCTTCATTAAAAATACTATGGAATGAAATAGCATATTCTTGGTAAGAGATTTCTTCTTTCTTTTATGCAAGAAGGTATGTCTTATGGTTTGGGTCAAGTAAAAAAAATTGGAAAAATCTGTTTTGGATTTTTGGCTTTTCTTGTGTCCTGATCTCTGAGTACATTTCAGTAAACAAAAACTATGTTTTTATCTAGTTTTGTTTTTCCATTTTTACAGTTAAGGCTATGAGTCTTTTTCCCAATATTGTTATTAATATGAAAAGATTTTCAAAGTAACATTAACAATTAATGGAAGTATAGCAGTATTCTTAGCATCTGAGGAAGTTCTCTAAATTTGGTTTAAAACATTCTTTTATATCCTTAGTCAGTGAAAGCTTCTATGGCATTTCTCAGGTAACCAAACTTAGGTCTTATTTTGCAGTCAACACAAATTTACTAACAAGTGTTTCTTTCCACTGAAAAAGGTACTAACTCCCTTAATCATACAATCATATCACAGAGTTAAGTAGTATTAGAAAATGAAGTGTGATTCTCAGCCTGCATGGAAATAGTGACTAAAATAGTGACTAAAATAATAAGGTACTGAATTTCATTCTAAAAGTAATTTCCTTTTAATAGCATGCAAATAGACTACAGCCAGTTGACTTATTTAGTATAAGAGATAAGGAAGTTTCTACATTAATAACTTCAGTTAACAATGTAAAGTTAATTGAAATGAATGAAAATTTGCTTGTGAGATTTATATTTTACCAGTAATATAGTCATGTGTACTTTTATTAAAAAGTTCAACTAAGGACATATAAAAAAGCAAAATGAAAATCTCTCTTGCCCTTCTTTTTCTCATTCTCTTACTATATCACCCCTCTCAATATTTGGTATATCATAAAGTGTGTAGCTATATGTATGTCCTCAAGAGTTCTAACTGTTCTATCTTCCAGCAGATTTAGTGATTATGCTTAAATATTTTGATTTTTGATCCATTTCGATTTTAGTTTAGTGCATAGTGAGAGATATGGGTCTAGTTTTATTCTTCAACCTGTGGAAATCCAGTTTTGCAGCACTAATTTTTAAAGAGCTTATTTTTTTCCAGTGAAGTTGTTTGACCTCTTTATCAAAGATAAAGTGTCGCAATGTGTTTGGTATTGTTCCTTTATAAGTCTATTCTGTTCCACTGATCCTCTGGTCTGATTTTGTTGTTTTCTGTTTGTTTGGCAGTACCATTCTATTTTAATCAGAGAAGCTTTGTAGTATAATTTCAAGTTACGGACTGTGATGTGCCCTGCTCTGTCATTATTGTCCACAACTGATTTTGTTACTCTAGGTTTTTTCCGGCTCCATGAATTGTAAGATTGGTTTCTATACTTCTCTGAGATATACTATTATTATACTGATTGGACGTGCATTAAATTTCTATAACAATTTTGGAAGTATGGCCATTTTCACCTCTATTGGCTTTCCTACTCAGAAACAAAAGATATATTTCCCTTGTCTGATACCCTCTTTGATCTCTTTTATAAGAATACTGTAGTTTTCATTGTAAATGTGTTTTACTTTCTTTCTTAGACTGATTTCTAAATATTTTATCTTTCTTGATGCTGTTATGAATACTTAAATTTTTCTATGGTTTTGTGATTATGCACATATGTTGCACTACAAAATTTTGCACATATCTGTGCATATGTCGTAAGACTGTTTGGTAAATATCACCCTAGAACAAATTCTGAGCAGAACTGGGGAATGTAATGTATATATTTCTTTATAATGTTTCTAGTTACTGTCATATTTTTATTAAATATCTCTATATGCTCATAATTAGTAGATGAGGTTTTTGTTCTCTCCCTATTTTATAAGTATTGAGTATTATCAGTTTTCTATTTTAACCAATCTAATATATAAATGTTACTTTTATTACCTGTTGTTTTTGTTTATATTTGAATTTTCCTGAATACAAGTAAAGCTTCATGTGATCATTTGCTTTCTAATTTATCGTGTACATGCACTCTTTGCTTCATTCATTTATGATGAGTTTGCTTATATAATTCTTACTGATCTGTAAGATAATGTTAATGGTTAAGGTGCATCCTCTTTTGATTATATGTGTTGTGAATATTTTCTCCCAATCAATTGTTTGTTATATTATTTATGGTGTGTTCACATGTGAATTTATACTCTTCATTTGTTCATTCAAAAGACATCCATTCAGTATGTGTAGGTGCTGGAGAGACAATATAAATGAAATGCACTCTCAGTATGGAGCTTGTATCTAGTCAAGGAGATATTCCTTTAACAAAATAAACACAGCTATTGGATGTTAGAAGGTAATAAATCTCAAGAGAAAAAGTAAAGCAACTTGGTGGGAATTACTGGGAATTGTTACACTTTGAAATAGGTTATTGAAGGAAAGTCTATCTGACACAAATTGAGCAATGACCTTAAGAGAGTCAGTCATGCAAAGACCCTGAGGTGGGAATATAACTAATATGGCAAAGAAACATAAATGAGGACAGTGTAGATTAAGCAGAATGAGGTCAGGCTAGTAATGGACAGATTACCTAGGGCCTTGTAGTTCATAGTGAGGGTTTTTATCCCTGAGTGAAATGGGAGTGAATGGAATAATATGATTGATTGTACATTAATTTTTTAAACAAAAATTACTGCTCTTACTTGCAAAATATGTAATAGAGAAACAAGGATGAAAGCAGGCAGACCAATTATGACACTATTTAAATAATACAGGTTATAGATGTTTATGGCTTGGATTTGAGTGATAGCAGTGGAAATGATAAAAAATATGGTTGGAAACTGAATATATTTTCTAGGTGAAAGCAGAAGGTTTTCTTGTGGAAAAGTGTAATGTCGAGAATGGCTCCCAAATTTTTATCCAGAACAACTAAAAGATAGGACAGAATTTGGAAAAGGCAGGCTTGATGAGGAAGAGAAACAACATAATTTACTGGTTGTGTATATTTTGTTGCCAAATTGAGAAATTTGTTAGTTAAGTAATAGGAAGCAGGAAGATGTAAGAAAGGTTGGAGCCCTAATTACAGGTATTTTCCCTTGCTTCTTGCCTGCTTGCTTCCTTGTTTTTATTGTTCTCTACTTACAAAGACTTGTACATGCTAATATCCTAAAAATAAATTTATATATTCATCCTGTGCTTTAATAGTTTTACTCTTTATATTTGCATCTTTAATTCATCTGAATTGTTTGTATGTTGTATGAGGTGAGGGATGTTTTTCCAAAATGAATATCTGGTTGACCCAACTCTTCCTTGTTACAAACTCCATCTTCTCCTCTCTAATTTAAAATTCCATTTTTACAGTTCTGTTCACAATGTTTTTTTATGAAATGAGTGAATGTTAACATTTATATAGTATAACAAAAATCATCATAATAAATCATGTATAAATTTATAATAGACAGTAGCAGAAAAAATACTGCAACTGGCAGATATCCACAGTATATATATCAACAGTATACTTTAGGGAACTAAGTTTTAGTTTTTCTATGTGATCTACAAGAATATTTTAGTAAGCAAATTCTACCTAAATTCAGAAATGGATAGCGATAATAAATAACAAAACAATAGTAAATAGCCTATTTTTCTTTCAGATGGTATTACTAGATTTTAGAAAGGTATTTGTTTGAAAATGTAAAATTCTATAGCTCAGTTCTATGGGCACAGGCAGTCAGTATTTGTTTGTACAGTTGTGATGCATACAAATAACAATTATACCAACTTAGTTAAATAATGCCAATCCAAAACCATGAATCAAATTTCAGTTATCATGGTAGATTAGTTTTTCAACTTATAAATCACTATAAAAAATAAAAGACTGTATCATGATCAATGAATGGTCATTTCACATCTCCCAAATTCAGTCAGTGACTATTAAGCATGCATCTATTGAGTGTAAGCATGCAGTCATGTTGCCTTCCCACCTCCCAGTTGTAAACCAGTGTTTCATTTTACAAAATGTACAGTTAAAAGATAAAAGTGGCAAATGAAAAAGAAAGTCCAGGGAGAGGAAAAAAATGGGGCTGGAGGTGCAGCTTAGTTGCGGACCAAGTGTTTAACATGTGTGAGGCCCTGGGATCAATCCTGACTAAAAAAATGATAAAATATTTTTAAAATAGAAAATAATTATATTAGAAGTGAGATTTTAATTAATTTACTTGCACGTATAGAAAAAAAGCTAGCCAACATTAGGAATGGAGGCAGAATCATCATTTGAGAAACCTTAGATATGATTCTAAGCAATACAGTCAAGGCAAAGTCGCCAAAACAAATGAGAAAAGTGGCACTAATGAGAAGGACAAATTGTTCCAAAGGAAGTGAGCACTGTGGTAGAGTCAGAGTTATGGTACAGGTCTTCATTGTTTTTAGGCAAAACTTGTACCAACAGTAAAAGAGCATTTGACTTTTAAAGTCTCTGTTAGAAGAAAAATATTCATTGAACAAAATTAGTACGTTTGACTTGTCTCTAACCACAAAGATTCTTTCAAAATGATTTATGAATTAAGACTTGCATACATGAAATGACTACAGACATGAAAGAATAAAAGACTTCCCTTATCTGAGCAGCTGAGGTAGGCCAAATCTAAGTTCAAGCCCAGCCTGGGCAATTAAGTGATTTAGTGAGATCTTGTCTCAAAAATTAAAGAAGTGGGGAATGTAGGTTAGTGCAAAAGCCCTGGGTTCAATCCCCAGCACCAAAAAAGAAAGGAAGAGAAGGGAAGGGGATGGAGGCAAAAGGAAAGGAGAGAGGAAGCAGGGCAATGGAGGGAAGAGGAGCAAGGCAAAGCTGCCTCACACTTTTAGGGAAACTCTTTTTGACCAGAATAGCTTAATAAAAGAAGTGTGATTTTCGATGTCTACTAAAGAACTGATAGATTTCTTCATGTTAAGATGAGATTTACCTTTTATAGTAGAACTTGCTATTTCTATTGTTCGATGTGCTTATTGTAAATGAATTGCATTGTAGCACAACAGGGATGATGATCACAGGTTCTGAAATCGGATTGTCTAGGTTCCAATTCAATTCCACCAATTACTAGTTTGTGTCATTGTAACATGGAGATAAAAACAATATTTTTTAATAAGGTTATTGGGTGTTAATGAGAATTACACATCTGCATAGTATGAAAATAGAATGAGCTCTGGGCTCATGCCCCTTTGCTTCAAATTAATTCTGCCACTTAACTAATGACATTACACTTGACTTCTCTAAGATTCGATTTTCTCATTTATAAGTGGAGATGACAAAATCTTATTCACAGGGCTGTTATGACTAAATGCAGCACTTTATGTAAAGAACTTTGTAGACAGCTAGTATATGGTAAAAGCTCTGTAAATAATGGTATGTTCTTATACAATTTAGATCATGTAGAAATTTCAATTTTATCTTTTTACTCATATTTTTAGGGTGAACCTGGTCAGCCTGGAATCCCAGGGAACCCAGGCATCAAAGGTTCTATGGGAGTTACTGGTTTGCCTGGATTGCCAGGAACACCTGGAGCAAAAGGACAACCTGGCCTTCCTGGATTCCCAGGTAAGTATTCCTTTTAAGTTCTTTCTTTCTTTAACAACTCTAACCAATGATACATAGAAACTTATTTGGCAGACTTTCATTCTATTTCACAATCAGATACATGATCTCAAACTAGTTCTTTACCTTTTCCTTGCCCACATGTCTTTGTGTATAAAATGAGAATAAGTATTACCAACTCAGCAGGACAATATCCTGGAGGCAGAGAGACTTGTATGGTGAAGCATTTTTCAATCTTTGACTGTTAGCCACAAATCAATTAAGAGACCTTACTATTTTTGTAAGTGATAATACAATCTACCAGGCACTAGCTTGCTGCTGATTCTTTTAGAAAGCTGTACACAGGCACACGGTTGGTGGCTGTTGGTAGAACAATCATATTGCTCCTTCAAATGACAAGGACTGAGTCATTCATGTAACAAGAATTAGCATTATAGCTAGGTAGATAGCCTGAACTAGAGTATTATAGTACATGATTAGCCATGCTTTTGTTTAGTTTTTGTTTGGTTTTTTAATTACTCAGTAGCATGGATGAGTGAGTCTTCAGTTACCTTTTTCTTAACCTTTTAATTGAAGTATAACATACATACGATAAAGTACATTTATGTATGCAAAACTACAAATAAATTTCAGTCTATGTATATATCCCATGTACCCACCAACCATATGAAAATATAAAATAGTTCTTTCTCATGGTAAAATTTACTCATGCTTCTTTGCAGGGAACTCTCACTCCACCTCGAAATAACCATTATTGTAACCTCTACAACCCTCAATTAAACTGGTTTATTATGGAAATTCATATAAATAAAATCATATACTATGTATCCTTGTGTCTGTGAATGTCATGTATTTAGTTGCATGTATCAGTGGCTTGTGTTTTACAAATCCTGTATATTGATCCACTTAAAAAATATACCTCAATCAATTTCACATACTTTTGTTGAGGGACACTTGGGTATTTTCAGTTTGGAACTCACATAAAAGTGCTATTATCATTCTTTTACATGTTTTTTAGTGGACATATACACTGATTTCTCTAAACTGAAGTCATAGGATATGTGCATATTTAATCTTCAGTAGATGATACCAAACAGTTTTCCAAAATGCCTTTGATAAATTTCAAGCCCATGAACAATGTATGATTCATCCAGTTGTTCATATTCTCTCACTCACTGGGTACTGTCAGTCATTTTAATTTTTATCTATACTGGCAGGAATATAGGAGTGTCTTATTGAGGTTTTAATGTACTCCTTCCTAATGTTTAACAATATTAGACATCTTTTCATGCACTTACAGGCCATTTGAATAGCATAATTTGAAGGCCCTTCTCCAGTATTTGTTGTTGTTCAGTGCTTATTGGGTAGTTTCCCTGTTTTCTTGTTTCAGAGCAGTTCTTTATATCATTGGATGTGTGTCCTTTGCCAAATACATATATTACAAATGTATTATTATTTTTTTAATTTTAAACAGAAAAAAAACGAAGCAAACAAACAATTGAAAAAGAGTAACAAAAGCAAAACGACAACAGTAACAACAAAAAATAATAATGGCTATATAAAATTTCAGAGCAAGATCTGAAATTTGCCTTTCATTGTCTTAATGCTACTGTGTAACAAACAAAATTTGTGAAGCTGGGTTTGGTGTCACACACTTGTAATCCCAGCATGCTTGGAGACTGAGGCAGGAGAGGCAATTTAGTAATGTATAACCGTCTGTCTCAACATAAAATAAAAAATAAAAGATGGCTGATAATGTAGCTCAATGTGCAGGTCCTGGGTTTAAGCCCCATAGCTACACATGAAGGAAGGAAGGAAGGAAGGAAGGAAGGAAGGAAGGAAGGAAGGAAGGAAGGAAGGAAGGAAGGGTGAATAGGTGAATAGAATGTTAATTTTAATAGAGTTCAGTGTTTCCATCATTTTTTTCATGGTTAATTATTTTTGTGTTCTATCCAATACATTTTGCTGACTTGAAGCTATGGAAATATACTAAAGTTTTCTAACCTTTAATGTTTAACATTGCATGTTTAGGTCTAGAATGTTTGAGTTTTTATTATTATTTGTTGTAAATTTTATTGTTGCATATTAGTTTTACAGAACAGTGAATTTCATTTTGCACTGTTTGCACTTGCATATAACACTATTTTCACCCACCTTATGTCCTTTCTCTCTCCTCTTCTCTAGATCTTCTTCCTTTACTCTTAACAATATCATTTCTAATTTGTTCTCATCTATATTTTTAAAATTTTCTTCTTTGATTTCACATGAGAGAAAACATGCTATATTTGAATTATGACCTAATCTAAACAGATTTTTATAGTTGAGACAGCACTGAATGTTCATATTTTCCCTACACAGACATTCAATTGCTCTGCATTTTTTTTTTTAAATCAGTACCAGGAATCGAACTCACGACTGCCTGCTTGCAAGGCAGGTGCTTATGCCGCTGAGCTAAATCCCCAGCCCCTGTGCGTTATTTTTTTTAAATAACTTTAGCTCCCTGGATAAATTGCAGTTACTCATTTGTCAAAAAATCAAATAGTCACATACATAGAACTCTGCTCCACTGATTTGTTTTCCTTTCTTTAATTTTTAAAAGAATTTATTCACTTTTCATTAGTACAGATTTGTAGTATGCGATGATTGCATTCACCATGCGGTATACATACCACATCTGTTTTCTAGTCTTTCTTTAATATGACATTGCAACACAGTCTGAAATTTATTTATTTATTTATTTATTTATTTATTTATTTATTTTTGGTATTGGGGATCAAACTCAGGACCCCACACTTGCCAGGCAGACACTTTAGGCCGCTGAGCTAAACCCCCAGCCACTATAAATTTATATTAAGCCTTTAAACAGAAGTACTAAACCTTTGCTCATTTTTTCGTTGTTGTTAGCTTGGTTTGGTTAATCTAGATCTTTTGCATGAAGCTGGGAATCTGCTTATCAATTTCCATCAGAAAATGCCCACAAGTACTTTGATTAAGATTACTATAAAGATCTAGGCAGCTAAGTGTAATTGATTAACAATCTTTCAACTCTGTGGACAGGTTAGCTTTCCAGTTAGTCAGGTATTTAACTTAATTCAACAACATGCCACACTTTGCATTTTTTAAATTTTGATCATCTTTTGTTAACTTTATCCCAGGAAACTTGAAGGCTTTCGGTGAGATTTGAGAGGATATTGCTTTTTCATTTACATTTCTAGTTATTTTTAGAACAGCATAGATATAATTAATTATAAAATCTTGAGTTTATATATAAATAAATCATTGATTCCATTTATTGACTGAGTTTCTTTATAGGTTTTTTAATTCTATAAACATATCTGAATTCTATAAACATATCTGAAATCTTTTTCTTTTTGTCATTCATATCTTTTATTTCTTTTTCTTTTAAATTATATGGCAAAGATTTCCACAGTAATGTTTAATAGAAGTGGTTATAATTGACATATTTATCTTTTTCTTAAACTCAGAGGGGCCGTGTTTGCTATTTTTCTATCAAACATAATGCTGTGCATCTTATCAACACATTTATTTCCTATCTTAATTTACAGGAAGCTTTTTTAAAATCAAAATGAGTGTGAGTTTTATCAAAGCTTTGCTTTTTCTGAGTCTACAGAAATACATTTGTCTCTCTTGTTTTTTCCTCTATTGATTGAATTATCCTAATTGGCTTTTTTCGTCCAAACAGTCTTATATTCTGGGGATAAACTCCAAAGGAGTCACACTGCATATATGGCTTTTAAGTATTGCTGGACTTTATACTTACTTCTTTAAATTGTCTATGGCTATGTGAAGTATTGTTTTGTGGTTTTTCTTTCTCATAGTATCCTTATCAACATTTTGATATGGAGATTTGTTGACTTCATGAGGTGGGATGTATTCTGATTTTCTTTGTTTCACTTTAAATATTTCATAATGAAATCTGAGCCTGTGGTCTTCTTTGTGGAAACCCTTTTTATTTTTGATATTTTTTTCTTTAGTCTTCTTTGTCTGATATACATATATCAAATTCTTTTTGGGGGTGCATTAGGAATTGAACCCGCAGCCTTCACACTGAGCTAGATCCCAGTTTGCTGATTTTATTTTGAGACAATGTTCACAAAGTCCTTAAATTTCCAAGTCTGGACTCAAACTTGCAATCCATTGACCTCAGCATCCCAGAGTACTGGGATTATAGGTGTTTGCTACCATGCCTGGCTCTTCAGTTTATCACATTTACATTATATTAACTGTATGCCATTTCACATACAGTGTAAAACACTTAAAATAGTATAATTGTGTTTGTATATCATGATCTTTGTGATTGTGTTCATATACTTTTGTAGAGATAATAAATCTTACAGTTAGTTGCAATGTTTGCTATAAACAGTGTCTAAAGAATTTAAGCAAAACTATTTTATATCTACCTACATATTTTCCATTTTAATGTTATAGCTTCCTGTATATTCATTTGCTATCATTCTCTAAATTCTACTCCTTGATCCAGCAGTTCTACCCTCGGTATTTTCCCAATATAAATTAACATATATATCCACAAAAAACCTCTGCATAAATAATCATAACCACTTCTTTAATAATAGGTAAAATCTGTCAATAATAACCCAAGGATCTAAGGACAGATGTATGAATTAAAAACTTTGTATTAAAACTATATAAATTGTTATGATTATAAAACTATACAAATTGTATCAGTATAATGTAGTAGTACTTATTTCTTTCTTTTTATTTTAGTGGTACTTATTTCTATGTTTATGAATGCATAATAATGCTATCCTCTGGATGAATACATTTACAACTTAAGATTATTTTTAGTAATATTCAGCAGTTACCAGTTTTGGAGAGAATTCTGATGTTAACACTATAAATTGTAAGTTTTCATTTGAGCTCCAATAGCAGTGTCATTGTGTTTATTTTTAATCTACTTTTATTGGTACAAATACAGAATGATCACATTCATCATAGAGAATTTGTACCTGTACATGATATAACTTACTTTTCATTATTTTTAAATTGAGCTCTTTATTCTAGGAACCCCAGGCCTTCCTGGTCCAAAAGGTATTAGTGGGCCTCCTGGGAATCCTGGTCTTCCTGGAGAACCTGGTCCTGTTGGTAAGCATGAAAATTAAGATATTGCTATTCTAAAAAACTGCAGCTTACCACATTCAATTTGAGAAAGTCAACTCATTTGCATTTGTAAAATTTCAAGAAGATTTGTGATCATTCACCTAGCAATATATGTTAGAAAGTGAGCAAATTTAAATAAAAATTATAAGACCTTACTTTGTAGGCACACATTTTAGGACAAGTCAATTCAAGTTTCCTATAACAAAACATAGACACTGAGGGGTTTTTTTGTTTGTTTGTTTGTTTGTTTTTTGTTTTTTTTTTTTTTTTTTTTTTTTAGAATGGCAGGCTGGAAAAATGTTATTGTCTTTCAAACAAAATCACCTATGTTGACCCATTTCAGTCCTCTAATACACCCTGTTACTTTGCACACCTTACTCTCTTATATATTAAATCCATATTAAAATGATAAAAGTTTCAGATACTGAGTAATTAGGTTGTTTATCTCATAATCCAACTTCAATTTTTTTCATAAGATTTCATGATTTAAAGAAGTGTCTCAGAAGTACTTTGTGTCTTTTGGAAAGAATTCTTTGAAACTCAATTTAAAAATTGACATATGTGGACAGAAAGGGAGTTGAAAAATGAATGTAATTTGCTGTAATCTGTTTTGTAGGTGGTGCAGGTCATCCTGGGCCACCAGGACCTCCAGGTGAAAAAGGAACACCAGGTCAAGATGGTATTCCTGGACCAGCTGGACAGAAAGGTGAACCAGGTGCTGTATGCTTTCATTTTTCCTAGCCTTCTAATTTTCTCCTGGTCTATTTTAATTTGACCTTCTTCATTCACAAAGAAATTGGGTCTTTTTTTTAATTTTCTAAGCTGCCACATATTTTCTTATTCCTACTTTGCTTCCTTCTGTTTACCCTGAGAATATGAGCTCATATTTGTTGATCAGGTTGCTGCTTTATTACAAAAAATAACTCTAAACCTGTCATGTCTTTGCATTAAGAAGTTTCCCAGTTTTCTTTCCAAATTTCTTTGTTTGTCACTGTGCAATTAACATTCCATTTATATGTTTTTTTGAGGTATGATTTTGATGGAAAGGGTACAGGTGATTGAGCCCAAGGCCTTCCCAATTAGCTACATCTTTTTTTTTTTTTTTTTTTTTTTTTAGACAGGTTCTCGCTAAATTGCTGAATTTCCCAGGCTGAGTAAAAACCTGAAATCCTCCTGGCTTAGACTCCCAAAGTGCTGGAATTTCAGATGTGCACCACCATGCCCATCTATGATATAAATATTTAAATGTAACTTGACACTCGTCACAAACATAATATATATTTATATAATTTCTGGATATTAAAATTGCTCTGTTAGTAGTTAATCTTCTGGAGCTGGGTTATAACCCAGTGATAGAGCACTCAGTTAGCCAGTGTAAGGCCCTGGGTTCAATCCCCAGCACACAAAAAATCAATCATCTGCATATCTTATGTAATATATAGTTATATTATATTAATATATATAATACTCTATTATATATATAATTTTGTATTAATATATATAATGTAATGCTGTAATAAGTTATAGTACTTAATGAAACAATGATGATCTAAAAATAGTTTGTCATCATTTCACTTTCTATTATGATTTTAAGATTTTTTGTGTTGTTTTGTACTCCAACAGGTCACCCAGGCTTTGGAATTCCAGGACCCCCTGGGCTTCCAGGACTTTCTGGTAAACTTTAATAAAATATATTAAATGAGCCTATAATATATTCTCCAGTACATTCATTTTTCCATTTCCATTATTTACTGTTGTAAAATCTATATACAAGACTAAAAATTCAACTATAGAGTTACACCTTTGAGTCTTTATGTGGCAGTATAATCTAAGAAGCTGAGTTATTTAAAAATGCATCCTGCTGAGGATTTAGCTCAGTGGCATGAGCCTCTACCTGGACAGTGGAAGGTCATGAGTTTGATTCCCAGTACCAAAAAATAAATCTTTAAAAATGAATCCTTAAGGATGTAGATATATCTTCACTGACTCCATTAATAAATGTACGTATCTCTTCACTGACTTCATAAATAAATGCTGAGGAAATGATATAGAAAGAAAGAAAATTGGTAGAAAGAGATAGATTTTACTAAATATTTTAAAACTCAATTTAGCCAGGATAAAACGTGTTCTTTTCTCCCTATAAAAATAATATCAAGATTAAGGGAAATTCTACAAAAATGTGTAATAATAATAAAAAACATTTTTTTGTCTTTTTCATTTTTATCGGTACCAAGGATTGAACTCACAACCGCCTGCTTGCAAGGCAGGTGCTTATGCCACTGAGCTAAATCCCCAGCCCTAAAAACATTTTTTAAAAGTCAATTTTAATGTTTTCCATATTTAGATGAATATGTGTGCATGTATAACCTACCTTCCCTTTCTAGTGCTTAATCTCACTGTAAGCACCAAATAGTCAGTAGAAAATTAATTGAAAGACTGAATGTGCATACATGTAGGTATGTTTATGTTCTAAATTGAATATTGAGTATTCTATGGAGGCTTTTCTGATGCTGTAGATATATATCCTAGACATTTTTTTATCTTTCTCATGGTTGCAACATGAAAATTATTACTCCAGTGTGCCACTGTTTAGATTCTTAAAAGCGCTAGAGGTATAGAAAAATTTTAAGTATAGTTTGTGTAGATTATGATTATAAATTTTGAGTACAGTGATCTGCAGACATGCATAACATTTGAAGATCCATGTAGTCCATTAGTCTCAAATTTAGAATCAAACTATCTATTCTAAGAATTGTCTCCAGTCATTTAAAAACTATTCTTAAAGATATTTTACATTTTTTAAATTTTTTCCCTTTTTTACTCTCATAACTGCTGATCATGTAATCATTATTCTATGTCCTAATACAACAGGTGTCTTTTGCAATAAAAGCTGTTTTTTTCTATATTTCTATATGTACTGTGATAACACATAGATGCATTTAATAGGAAAAATGGTTGTTGGTTTGGGTTTGGGATTTATTTAAAGATAGAAATTACCCTACTGAATTGCATTACTTGCTCTAATAACTTTAGCCTTCTAGGCAAGCCTGTACCTTAGTTTCATTTAATGTACTCTCTAATGTCACTTTATTTTCACAGGTCAAAAGGGTGATGGAGGGTTACCTGGCATTCCAGGTAACCCTGGCCTTCCAGGTCCAAAGGGTGAACCAGGATTTCAGGGTTTCCCTGGTGTACAGGGTCCTCCAGGCCCTCCTGGTTCTCCAGGTCCAGCTCTGGAAGGTCCTAAGGGCAACCCTGGACCCCAAGGTCCTCCTGGGAGACCAGGTATGTTCATGAATCCTAGGGGAATGGTCTGTTTATTATTCAATTTATTTCATTTTGCTGGCAGTTTACTCAGTTGTTAGGCCTTAGAATTTGTAACATGAGAACTTCTTACAGACAAATAGCTTGGTTTATATACCTGGCTCCATCTGTTTCCATAGCATCTAACATAGTATTTGCTGTAATGAATTTTGTCATTTACATAAAGTTGAAATAAAACAAACAACTTGGGTAAAAAAGGAAATAGTGACTTCCTTTAGTCTTGTTATAAAATATAAAGCTATACTGATAACCTGGCAGCAAAATACCATCTACATTTTTAAATGTGAGCTTCTCAGCATGTCATCACTAAAATAATTTTAGAGATCACCCAATAGATAAATGCTTGTGATCCACACCACAGGTGTTGCTATGGTTCTGTTACATGATCAACAAAATGCCACCAAGCACCATTATAATTTTATCTTCCCTAGGAACTAGACAATCAAATTTATCTTCAGTATGATCAGCATGATCAAATTTACTAGTAATCTTTCCACCAACCTCGCATCTTTACCCCATTTGCCTTTTATTCACTTCTCTAGTATTTTAAATTTGCATCCATTATACCTTTTTGTTTCTGTGCTGTCACTTCACTTTACTAATTTGAAAATCCTAGTTCTCATTAATGTTGCTGAGACCAATCACTGGTGATATGTTATTAACAGATTTTTGAGACTTGGTGTTAGTTTTTCTCTTTCTAGTAATGGAAAATTTAACCTTTACTGAATTTAAGGAAAAAGAAAAATCTAAGATTGAAGAAACAAAGAAGTTGTTCTTTTATCTTTAGAAAAACCCTGACTTACTTTTAAAGTGCGTTTTAAAAAGAAAATTTGCATTTAAACTCCAGTAAAATCTTAAGTGGTTGGAGTTAATGTTAATGAATATGCTATAGAAATGTGAATTCATATGGGATGTGGGATCACATTCTATATTCAGATGATCATTTTGAAAGCTAAATTTTAATCTGATCTTATTTGGCTGTCGTTAGAGGGTAATACTTAAGATTTTAAGTAGTTTACTATTGAAGAAAACCAGTGAAAATCTCAGCCATGGTAACTCTTTTGCATGTAGTAAAAAGAATTGAAACGAATTTCTTGCTTTGTTTTGCATGCAATTATTCAAATAAACCAAACTATTATCTCTTTTATTTTCAAATTAGCAACTGGTTATTCATTCTTGCAAGTAATGGAACTCATTGATTAACATTAGATTAATATACGACAGTATAGAGTGTGGGGATATAGCACAGAGGCAAAAGAGCTTGCCTGGCAAGCACAAGACCCGTAGTTCAATTTCTGGTACTCCCAAAAAAAAACCTCAATGTAAAATCATTAATCTGACTGTAGTGACACATGCCTATAATCCAAGAATTTGGGAGGCTGAGGTAGGTAGATCACCACTAATTTGAGGATAGCCTCAATGACACAGCACAACTGTGTCTCAAAAAGGTAACAATAATATCATTATTCATAAAGATGTCTTAACTATTACTATCTTAATAGAATCATAGCAAAAGTACTCAAGAAAGGGAGCACATATCTGATGAATATTTGGTTTATCAATCTCTTTTATAAACTACATATTAAAATGGAGTGTTAATGATGGGTTAGTGATGAATTCCATAAAATAAGTTTTGGTCTTTCAAAATATGACACATATTTTAGTAATTAAGTGGTAATAGTTTGGTTTATATGACATGCATTTGTATGAATGTTCTAAATACTCTGTAATTGAATTAAATTTTAACTTGAAAGTATTTAGTACAATGCATTTAGTTTTTTGATGTTTCTAACCTTTTTTGATATTTTTCCTTTCATTAATGATGACATTGGGCCTTGGTGAACTTTGACCCCTATCCAGGTCCTCCAGGTTAGCTCTTTAACTCCAAAGTAGTAACTGCATGAAGTTTAAAAGTTTTCTTGTGTACATATATGTATGCATGTATGCTTACATATATGTGTGTAAATAAACAATCAAATTTAATGTTTTCAAGAATTTAAATGTATTTTTTGAGTCTGTGTGCCAATTCAATTCTCACATGATGGCCTATTTCTGTGAGTTTTCAGAAATTTGTGAAGAACAGTGTTTCTAATGGAATGACCCCACATTATCTAATTAGAAAAACTAATTAATGCTTGTTGTAGCTACCTTGAAGGCTGAAACAGGATTGTGACTTGTGCCAGCACAGTAGTTCAGGCCAGTGAGGCCATACCATAGGCCAAAGGAAGAAAAAGAAAAATGAAATTAAACTATCCTTCAAAAAGGCATTTTTAAAACAATAACATGTAATGACATGTATTAGACATGCAAATGTGTGATCTTCATTAATCATATGGTTCTAAATTATACTCCTGTGAAGAAAGTCCATTTAGTATAGTATTTTCAAAAAATCAGTACAACCAATACAGATTAGAGGCTCTTAAACCTATTTTCATCACGTACAAACAGAATATACCAAACAATTACCAAGAGAGACTAGATGGAAATTATTGATTTGTAGTAAACAAATGCTCACCTAATTAGGAGTTAAAAGACCCACAAATATTTGAATGTATTATTGTTGTAAATGAATAGTTCTTTTGGGATTTCTAGAGGGAAATTAAAAAGGAGAAAATTCTACTCCTAGGTCTGACTGTTGAGTATAATAGAACATTTTTTTTTTCTTTTGTAAATTAAAAATTCATAAATTTTCAAGATGTCTTTTAGGAAGCCATCTATCTCTATCTGAGCTTATTCCTTAGTTACTTTCTCTAACTTTACTTCTTTATCTGTACTGGGAATTGAACTCAGGACCTTTGCACTGAACCCATATATCCCCTATCCATTTTGGGGGACAGACTTTCATTAGGTTGCTAAGGCTATACTTGAATTCATGACCCTTTTGCTTCCCACAGTGCTGGAATTATGTGATACCACACATAGCTTCTGATTCCTTATCTGATTCCTTAGTTTCTTACATTCCCACAGATCCATTATTTCACTGAACCACAGAATGCGAGACCAAGAAGGGACCTATGCTATATATATATATATATATTTTTTTTTTTTTAAAGAGAAATTGATGGCTGGATTCTTGTTAAAGATGGAATGACAAGTTTTAACTCAAAACTGTTGCAATAGAGGAAAGGTTATAACGATGAATAGGAAAGAGTAACTGAGCTCACCTCAATAAGACAGAGATTTTTCATGAAGGATCAGAAAGAGGAGGTCAGTGATGGGAACTTACTGACAGGGTATCAAGGGTAAAAGGATTGTTGCTAGAGTCACTTAAAAGGATTATTGCTAAAGGAATACCAAGGACTTAGACACCAAGGGTGGTAGATGAGGAACATGATGAGATTTTAAACATTGGAAATAGACTCTCCTTACGGTGACTTAACAGTATTCTTATTATAACTGTACTTGGCAGGCTAGAAATAGAGCCCTAGAATGAGAGAAAAAGACATGAGTGCACTTGTAAATTTGGGTCAAGGTGAGAGTCTTTGTTACATATGATACACTGAGGCCCAATAATATTATTTAATGTAATACTTCTTTAGTTACTGGCATAGTTGACACTGCCTTGTGTCTATACTGCTAGTAGCATCTCTTTCTATGAAGAATATTTATTACATGGCTTGATGCTTATGTTTCTGGTCTCTTATTCTAGTTATAAATTTGATAAGTTAATGGATCAAAAATGCTTTTAACATTTTAGAAGACTTGGCTATAGCAGACCAGGCCTTCCATCCACTTTCTTGTTTTTTGTTACCTTAAAAGCCCCATCAACCTCTAATAACTGCTTCTTGTGTTCTTCCTAAGTGGATGTCATCAAGAAGATTAAGATAGTGCACGCGATTTAAAAATCACAAATATAAAAAGATGACTAGGAGATACTTTGAAGCAATTTTGAGTCCTACTTGTCTGACTTGTATGGAATTCTTCTGCCTTCATCACTGCTAAAGTAGACTATCAGCTAGGAGGTACTTTTTCTTTTTTCCTAAGGCACTACAATATATTTGATGAAGAAAAGCAAAGTTTACTTTGCTTTAAAATCAGTTTAACAACTGTCATTTACCAAGTGTGCTCTAAATTGCAATTACTAAAACCTAGTCTTTCTGGTGGTGTCTTCTTTGCAATAGTTGCAAACTACAACCTTAAGTGGAAATTAGATTTATACCAGTGGAATCGTCAGTTTATCTTTAATAATTATCACTTATGTACAAGATTTTATTTTGGGGGGGGATTTTTAGTTAACTTTTTTCAAGTGATTTGAAAAACAGTAAATTGAAAGCCTCATACACAAAATTGAGTTGGCATATAACTCATTAAAATGTAAGCTTTTCAAAATTAAAATCTTAGAAGTTTTGCTGTGATATCATCATTTCTCATTGTTACTGACTTGAATGAAAATGTCATTTTCCAATGTGGTATTTTTCTAAGAGTTCTTATTATTGGTCTTTCTGTATCAAACACAAATCTAAAGTGTCTTTACTCAAACCCTAAATTACGTTTGGTAGTAATTTTAATATATTAAACTAATTATGCAGTTAGTGCTCTACGTGTTATCTTGAGTTAGTTTGCTATTTAAGCTCAGTTTTAGCTTTCTAAATTTCAAATTATCAGTTCTTTTTAAAAGTTTCATTATTGGTAATAGCAGTAATGTTTTCCATATAGATTGCACGCAATCATTTCCATCATAACTTTTGTTGTAAGCTCCCAGAGAGCAGAGTCAAGAGTCTTACTCATTTTTATATTCCATGTAGCACCTTGTACATGACAAATATTAAATCTGAGTTTTAAAACATGCCTTTCATCATTAATCCAATGAGGAAAATTAGGGCAGATAACAGTGTTCCCACTATGATTGCCCAAAGGCATATAGTTAATAAGTAGAGAGTCAAAAACAGGATCCTATGTCTTCAAACTTCTAGGACTCTGCTCTAGCATCTTTTGTTTTCTCTTCTAACATTCATTGTTTATAAATCATAGCAAGACTTGTAAGTAAAGAAAATTGTGTTTTTAGTCAATTAACAGTAACCGAGAAATGTTCTATTTGTAATTTTTATCATTTTATCTAATGATCCTTCTTCTAATAGTGAATTGCCTGAGTAAATACGTGCATTGAAATATAATAAAGTAATTATAATATTTTCTGTGGCTTGAGGTGGGCTATTGCATTCCAAAATACTTAAAGTATCACCTCATTGATAGTCTTCACATCTTTGGGAAATTTGAATCTTTAGTTTCAAGTTCAATTGGGTGCAAACATGCATTGATTTTTTTCTGTAAGTAGTTTATTGAGAATAATAATGTACAGAGGAAAACCTCACAATGATTTGTGAAAAAAAATCAGAAGTGGCTTCACTGATTGATTTTCAAATAAAACAAATAGAAGTACAATTAGTAATGGTAAGCTCATATTTTGATTTTTCTCTTCAGTCAGCAATGATTTTTGTATTTTTTTGACAGTGAAGCCTCTAAATTCTCTTAACTTATATCTCCTTGGTTCAGTCTAAACATACAAAAACTTTATCTTGCATTTTTGTTGAAGGATGCCAGAAGCCAAGAAAACTTCATCCAAAATTACTCCTTTATTAAAAGAACTGAAGACTGTCAGTGAAATCCTGTTTCATTGCCAAATATGATGTTTTGAGAAGGACTTTTGGAAAGTCACAGAAGCAGTGTTAACACTGTCTTCAGTAGAGTTTTCCATTTTTTTTTTTGATTAATGAAAACCAGTAACATTCTCTATAATAAGCTCTAATTGAAAAATTTGTCTCCCCATCTCCAGTATGATTCTGTGTGCATAGTGATTATGCTAGATGTCTAAGAAATAAACCTAAGAAAATTATTGCTTAACTTATGCTATAATGTGAACCAATTCTAACTCATAATCTTATTTTGTACTGTGTGATGTCTGATACTGCTAACATCGATCTTTGGGCTTTGGTGAACTCTGCTCTTCCCAGGTTTTCAAGGTTAGACTTTTCACTGGTCAATTCTTTTAAATATTTTATATGTCTGATAAGAGATAAACACTTTATTGTCTTATAAATAAAAGCAGAATTTAGAAGCTATTGAAGAATGCTGTGATCCTCAAATATTACCTAGTTGAGTTTTAACCTTCTGGTGGGGGTAATGTGCCTTATTTATAATCAAATTTGAAATGATATCAAGTCTTTGTGGTTTTGGTTGTTTATAGTAGGTAATCCTATATAAAGATATGTTGAATTTTAAATGAAAATATACTTACTTTTACCTTCTAGACTGTGCTAGATCATTTATTTAGAGAGGCATATGGCCAATTTATAATCTCTGCATATATTGATTATATTTTCTTGATAACTTTTTTTTGCTTAGTGATCTGTGTATTTGTGGCTATTTTCAGTAATGGAAGAGATAAACTATTAAATGCTGTTAAAATTAACTGATGTATACTGTATGTCATTAGTAATTCACTAATTTAAATTTGAAGGACTAAACAGAATGCATGCATCTGCATGTAAAATCCCCAATATTCCCTTTTAGTTGCAAAAAATATAGTATACCTGTTTTATTTTTCAAATGATACAGTACTCTGATAACCTTTCAAACTGGGAAAATAAAAAAAAAAGCTGTCAAAGGTTCCTTTTTTTTTTCCTATTTTAAATTTTCCTTGGCATTTTCATAGGTTTGTTCACATTTTATTTTTCTCTAAATAAACTGATTTACTCCCTAATTTCTACTCTAAATGATACAAACTACTATTTGCTTAGAAAATCCTATTTAATGCATTTGAACTAAGCAGGTGTTTTTGCTTTTGATTTTTAAGTTACAAAGTACCCCAAATCTTTGTTTATGATGGATAAGGGAATTGCTGTGTTGTCTAGTTATCAGGTTAAAGTGACTTTATGAATTAAATTGTTTAACAATTGAAATAATTACTATTGTTCTATTGAACCTGATTTTTTGTTCTCATGTGCCAGATATTGTCATGTTGTTTTATGAAATCACATAAAACACCTGAAAGATGAAAAACATGTTCATGTTTCAAGATATGTGTTTATTTTCAGTTCTACTTATAAAAATAATAGTGCTAATATTTATAAAATTAAAAAATACCACCCCTTGTATTATTATTGTGTGCCAGGCACTGTGATAAGTAATTTATACATGAAATTTCATTTATTCTTTACAACAATTTGGTAAAGCAGATGCAGATGCTACTCTTTTTCTTTTGTTTTCTTTTTCATTGCTTTGTGTGGTGTGTGTGTGTGTGTGTGTGTGTGTGTGTGTGCCTGTGCTGAGGACTGAAACTTCACAATGAGTTTCACATATCCAGCCTACCTTTTTAAAATTTTGATACATGTCTAAGTTCTCAAGTTTCAGGTGGGACTTGAATTTGCATCCCTCATACCTCAGCTCCCATAATTTTGGAATTAAAGGAATGTGTCATGCCACTGTGCGTGGCTAGCAGATATTATTTTTATTTCCACTTCATAGAAAAAGAAATTGAAGCCAAGGGGATTAGTCATCTCAATAAATCAAAGACTGATGGTTTATAGATTTAGGATTGGAACACCAGAATTCTAACTCCAGTTTTCAGTGTTCTTAATCAGTAACTATTGATTCTGAGTCCTAAGAGTATTTGGAAAGGGAGCAAAACTTGAAATTCAATCTTAAGTCAAAAAGATGACAGGCTGTGCATGAGTAAACTTGAACTTAGTATTCTAAATTCTTATATATATCATAGGTCCCTAAAAAGTAATACTTACAAGTCAGGCATGGAAGCACATGCCTGTAATCATAGCATTCAGGAGGCTGAGGGAGGGGGAACACCAAAAATTCAGAGCCAATTTGGATTAAATAATGAGTTCAAGGCCAGGCTAAACTACCTATACAATGAGATCCTGTCTCAAAACCCAAAACAAAAACAAAAACAAAAAGAGGGATTCCATATATATATGGTTTAGATCAATAAAAAATTGATGAAATTGAGGCTACCAGAAGAGAAAAGATATGTGTGCTAGCTTTGGGCTTATTATTTATACCTTGTAATTATTTCCTTAAGAAGGACTACTTAGTCTCAAACACTACACACTGTACAAACAAATAACACTTATTTCTCACCTGCTGACAAAAAACTTTGTCACAGTGCTAAGTTGTTTAATGGACCTGGGATTTTTATTTAGAAAGAAGGGCAAAAAGTATAGCATAAAGAAAAAACCTAGCGAAGTCTCACATTAAATTATTTTTGTTTGCATTTTTAAAAAATATTTAAAATGTAAAAATTATGAAAACTTCCTTTTGCAGTGCTGAGAGTAAAACCCAGGGCTTCACACTTACTAAGAGCTCTACCACTGAGCTATAGCCCCAGCCCATGAAAACATTTTTGAAATTGTACTACATTGATTAAATTCTAACCATTAAAAATATTCCCATGCATAAATCATATCACTAGGACAAAATTATTGTCTTAATTCCATAATGTCTTAGTTACTTTTTACTCCTCGCTTAGATAAAATACCTGATGTACTAAGTTGGGAAAGGAAAGATTTATTTCTTACAGTTTTTGGATGTTTCAGTCCATACTCAGTGGGCTCCAAGGCAGGCTGGCATAATGGGCCGCAGTTCATGGCGGCGGCAAACAACAAGGCAAAAACAGGCAAGAGAAAGACATGCCTTCTTCCTGCCACTACATCACATCCCAGCTCCACCCCTATGTGGGTGTAGCACTGACACCATCAATCCAAGCACTATACAATGAATCAATCACAAATGCACAATGTAAATACGTTAGGCCTGGGGGCCACCAACATAAACCATGACACATAGTAATAAATGCAACCTTTTACAATAAAAGCAATTTTATTTTTTAATGTTTTTTTTGTCACTGGAGCTAAACCCAAGACCTCTCACATGAGCTGCTCTGCCACTGAAGTACATACACCATCAACCTCAAGCTATTTGATTTTAATCACAATATTTTGAATTCCTTTAATTTGTTAGAATGCAAAATCTTGAGTTTCTCACAAGCTTCTTACTGAAGCTGAAATTATGGGGGTGGGCCTAGGAATCCGAATCACAAGGTTATGCCAGTTTTAAGTCAAATACTTTGTTAGACATTCAGAAGCAAATTATATCCTTAATTATTTCTTTAAATATACATTTATTGGGTTGAAGGAATAATAAAATTTAAACCAGAAGTACATACAATTACGCATTAATGACATAAGGAGCCCAATCCAATTTACATCAAGAAAGGAATCAAGATAGGTCAATAAATTTTAATGCAATGTCAGCTTTACCTGCAAACTAATATGAAGAAATCTTGATACTTTAAACTCTTACATTTATACTGCTCTTATGCTATACTGAAATTGTGTCATTTGTTGTACATCATCAAGGTCTACCAGGTCCAGAAGGTCCCCGTGGTCTTCCTGGAAATGGAGGTATTAAAGGAGAAAGGGGAAACCCAGGCCCACCTGGGCCACCTGGATTTCCAGGTTCCAAAGGAGATCAAGGATCACCAGGACTCTTGGTAGGAAATGGGAGTAGATATTTGATGAGAGAGGAATGTGGGTGTTTGCATTCAAATGGCAATTCTAAACTGTAAACATTTAATTAGCACTTAGGACTATGAAAGGCTCACTGGTGAATTAAAGTGAAAGTAAAAGACTTTATGGCATTTTGCTCTATGATAGCAGAAGGGTACCTCACTTACTTTCTACCTTGGTTTGAATGACTAACAGAAACTTATTTCTTTATATATTCTCAGAGCTGCCACCATTCATTCAAGCACGTTGTTAATAAATTTTGACAACCAGCACAGTCTGGGCTGCCTTTCTTAAAGGCTGCTTTACAGCAGAAAAAACTGTCTGTAAAATAGTGGCTCTTAAAATTTTTCAGTATCTAATCTTTTTTCCATGGCATTGCTTTTCTTCTAGTTACTTAGTCTTAAAAATTAAATCTTACTTCAGTTTTTTCTCCTACACCTCTACATTCAAGACTCCTGACTGTTACAATTAGCCTCCTTTACTCTCTCTCTTTCTCTATTTCTGTGTTGGTGTGTAAGTATGTATGTGCAAATGTGTTTGTTTTGTGAAACATTTGAGAGTAAGTTATATCAGTCATAGTTCTTTACCATTAAATACTTTCTTACATAAGTTTTTAAAAAAACTTACATAATCACAGTATATTATCAACTTTTGAAAACTGAACATAGATATATGTAATGCTTTTAAGTTCTGCCTTTAATGTTCAAATTATGTTAGCTGACCTAGTAATGTTCTCTTTAGCACTTCTCCCTTTAAAATGGTGACCAAAACATGAATTATATTTAATTGTCATGTCTCTTTAGTCTCCTATAATCTGGAACCATTCCTAACCCTATTTTTCTTACATGACTTTAACATTTTAAGAAATTGTCACCTCCTGTATTTTAAAAATAGGATATTCCTTTTGTTTGATGTTCTTCCTGTTTACATTTGGATTATGTATCCTCAGCTGGAATGCTACATGAGTGATGTTATGTCCTTCTCAGCATAATAAAGAGGTCCTTGATGTCCATCTGCCCCTCATTTGTGATTTTAATTTTGATAACCCAATGTCAACTTGTCAATCAAGTTGTTATCCATTTTCTTTTTTGTATTATTGCTGTTTTCCTCCTAATAAGCAAAACTGTGTTAAGGTACATTAATTTCTTGCAAATATAAATTTCCTTTTAGATTTAACATCTATTAATGATTTTTACCTCAATCGCTTTCTGCTGGAATAGTGGTAAAAGGATGATTTTCCAACTTTAGTACTACTTCTGCATGTATAGTACAAGTCAGCTCTGTTGTAAGCAAGAGTTTTTCTTCCTCTTTGTTCACATATTATCATATGGGCCCAAATTTCTCATTTTTTCAGTGATTTAAAAATTACCTAAGTATCATTCTTTATTTTGGTGCTCATATTGTCTCAGATTTGAAAATTTCTTCAAGCTGTATCCTTTCTGACTTCTCCCATCAACTTTTCTTTAGCACTTTCTATTTCATCATAAAAATATATTGTCACTGTACCCCATTTTTATTGCTACTTTTACAGACTTCATTTTCCTACACTTGGAATAGTGCAGTAGCCTCTTAAGTACTCTTACTAGTTTATATTTTCCTTTAGATTCATTTTAGAGCTATTTTCTATAATTTTCATGCTTTTTATGGTGCTCAGAAACCAATTACCAGGCCCTAGGATATACTTGCTAAGTATCTCAAAATTTAGCCTTTCTACAGCTGTAATTCTAATCAAAGAATTTATTGCCTCAGATGTACACTAAAAAGAAAATATTTTGTTAATAATCAAACACTGACTACTGTTTATTAAATAGACATGCTATGCAGTTTTCTATACACTTAATATGAACTGTCTTATTAAACTCTTACCACCACTCCATGAAATGCAAGTTGTATACTGCTGTTTCCTCCATGTTAGAGGTGACAAAACAATAGATTAAAGAGATTAAATAATCAGTTGGGGTCACACAAGGTAATAAGAGGTAAAACAAGGTGTAGAGTTCTTGAAGTTTAACTCTGCAGACATTGCTATACATTAGTACATAATACCTCTGCCCTAATTTCCCTTCCTTCCTCCCCCAATTTTGTTTCTAATGATTTTGTTTATTCAGGGTAATCCTGGTCGGCCAGGTCTCAATGGAATGAAAGGAGATCCTGGTCTTCCTGGCGTTCCAGGATTCCCAGGTATTTGAATGGGTGTTTGGAGGTTTCTCTTTACATTAAATTCCTTTGGGGCAACAAACATATTTTGATTTTTTTAAAATAAAACCTGTGGTCCCGTTTCTTTGCTGGGTAATTGTTTGTACTGTTTTTGCAGGTCTGAAAGGGCCCATTGGAGTGCCTGGTTCAACTGGCCCTGAAGGGGAACCAGGACTTACTGGAGCTCCAGGTAAGAAACATTCCTAAAGCTACCTCTGCTTGATGGCTAAACACAAGAAAGAACTTGAAAGCTTGTGTCCCTTCAGCCAAACTCTTAAAGTCTGTAATTTGCTAATTTAATAAAGGTTCCATTTTATTAATGTAGATAGCAGACGACTCAAAGTTAAGATGTATGATGCATAAGAATACTTTAATTGAGATGTTTTTACTGGCTCTGACACTTAACTTTCACATATTCACTTCAACAGGTCACAAGAACAATTTTTGTTTGCATATTTTTATATTAAATTGTTCTTTTTGCTGAAAGGCTTATAGATGGTTCCTACAGAATATAAAAGGATATCTAGTAAATTACCCTGTTATTTCAGTGGGTTCCTGGACAAGCACTACAAACAAGAACTGCAAATAATGTCAGAAACACAATGGACTTATCGGGGAATGAGATTTTCCTCCCAGGCACCATGTTCACAGCTTTGTGATCAATTGGACACTTCAGTAACTGATAGTGCTTGCGATTTAAAAATAAGATATCATGCTTAATTTTCCATTGACCTTAAGAAAGTTGTTTATTTTTCAGTTATCTGGTGAAATAATGGTAGTTTTTCCGAACAGATTTCTGGTGGATATGGCAGCAGTCAAATACATGTAACTTTTTTCTCTCACACTAATATTAATCCTGACCTTAGGTCATTTTGGCATCTACTTCTTCTGACCTTTTTTTTGCTTCTTTGACCTTCATGTGTTTTGCCTCTTAGGTCCTCCTGGATTGCCTGGTCCTTCAGGACAGAGTATTATAATCAAAGGAGATGCTGGTCCTCCAGGGATCCCTGGCCAGCCTGGCTTAAAAGGTCCACCAGGATTATCAGGCCCTCAAGGCTTACCAGGTACCTTTGCAGATCATTTTTGAAGGAACCCTTTTTTTCTTGAAAATGTTAAATTCTCATATTCATATTTCTTCTAGGCCCAGTCATATTTCCCCCTCTGAGCAGTCTAATTTGAATGAGTAGGTTAGTGTTAAAAACTCTGTAATGAAATGGATATGCTTTTAAGATATAATAATTTACCTACTTCAGCCAATGGAAAGATTGCTCTTCTGTGGGTAGAACCCACTCCCAGGGCCTTCTGCGTGAATGGTAGGTAGATGTTCCACCACTGAGCTATACCCTTCAGGTCCCTGCTGACTTTTAGACTATTGCCTCCTTGGCCATCTGACCCTAAGCTTATAGCCAACTTTGATTGTAAATGCAAACTGAAGCAACCAACACGAACTTCAGTCTCTTCTCACTGAATAAGTAACAGTCTTTCTATAAATGTATTCGACATTAAGAGTCCTACCTCTCATGGATCACAAAAGTTGGGACCTGCATTGCTATCTGGTACTGAAGACAACGAACAAAACTGCCATATTAAGGGGATCTCCCTAGAAGGGAATATAGTGTTTAAAGCTAAATCCTTGTCTACATTTGTCTTGAGGCTGAGGTGGTCCTTCATTTACCCAGATTTAAAATAAAACCAGATTATAAATTCAGTGTCTTAAAAATTCTAAGTCTCAGCTAGGCATTGTGGCACACAACTATAATCTCAGCAGTCTGGGAGGCTGAAACAGGAAGATCTCAAACTCAAGGCTAAACAGTAATGTAGCCACTTAGTGAAACACTGTTTCAAAATGAAAAACTAAAAGGGCTGGGGACATAGCTTATTATGAAGGCCCTGGGTTAAATCCCTGGTACCACCAAAACAAAAACAAAAATAAAAAAAATTAAGTCTCCTAGCTCTATATGCATATGGACTTACTCTATCCTTTTTTTTTTTCTGAAGGTCCAGTTGGGCCTCCAGGGGATCCTGGACGTAATGGACTCCCGGGCTTTGATGGTGCAGGAGGGCGAAAAGGAGATACAGGTCTGCCAGGCCAGCCAGGTGAGACAAATAAAACAGTGCTGCTGATGGTGGTCTTTATGTCTGGGAGGAGTTTGGAAATAGGCCTCCACTTGGAGCTGAGATCTTTTTGAGGGAGGAGAACTAGCTGAGTGCTGAATCTGGAGTTGGGGAAAAATAGGAACAAATATCCGAAGAGATTTGCCACTGCAAGAGTAGTATACAAGGTTGCTTTTATTTATGTGTGTAGAGCACTTGAAAACCCAGCTCTTCCTCAAGGTACTCATTGTAATTGCTTGTTCTGCTAATTTTCAGTGTGCTGATTTAAATTCCTTGACCACATTGGAACTGTTGTGAATCCATCCATATTTGAAATTATCACACTAAGGTGTAATTTCCCTCCACAACATACAGTAAATAGAAAAGTTTTAAGTGATCCCTATAGACCTTTGAGAGTTACGATGACATCTCTTGCTGATATGATATGATGTATTGATGTGCATATTTTTGAGGTTACTCATTCATAGATAGTCCTGATAATATTAAATCTAATGTCTACTAAATTTCCATATGTAGTTCACCTATTTCCAAAAAGAATTTGAGTCAACTTGTAACAAAAAATACACTAACATGAAATTGTTAAAATAGAAGACCTTAAACTCATTACATTGTTACATATGTTTGCAACTTTAATGATATAAATATAAGTGATTTTTATTGCAAAAACAAAAATCATTGGCAACAAATGGTGGTGGTTTAGCATATAGCCTTCCTAGAGCTGTTATCCTACCAATTGATTAGTTTTACATTTCCAGAGAAGAAACAAGTTACTATCATCTTCATGGCCAGCATGGCTCTGAAGGGTTTTTTGTTTGTTTGTTTGTTTGGTTGGTTGGTTTTGTTTGGTTTTGGTTTTGGTTTTGATTTGGTTTGGTTTGGTTTGGTTTGGTTGGTACTGGGAAATGAACGCCGGACTTCATGCTTGCCAGGCAGGTGCTGTGCCACTGAGCTATAACCCTGGCCCTCTGAAGATTTTTTTTAAAGATGAAAATCACACATGGTGGTTTACCAGTGTGTAAATACAACTTTAAGCATGCTTAAACCAAGAGGCTAAGTTGGAAAGGGGAGCCAGTGAAAGGCTAAAATAAGTATTTTAAAAGGGCTTCTTCAGAATGCTCTAGGTTATTTTCTGAACAAAGTATGCTTGAGAATAATTCCCCAGACAGATTCAAAGGAAAATAGAAACCACCACTGACACAGGCAGAATGATGGAAATCATACCTTTCCTTTCCTATTAATGTACAAAGCAGCAGATTGAAATTTGGTCATGAGGTTCAAACTCCTTGAGTATAACCAAGACACTAGGTAACATACAGGCTCTCCATATGCAACTGTTCTCCCATTTAAAGTTCCAGTCACCTAGTATTTTAGTGTCTAATGTTTCTAACCAACTCCAGAAGGAAAAGAAGGAAAAAATACATTTAAATTTCTTTGAGGGCAGAGACCATATCTTATTTCTCTCTGTGCACATGACATCTGACAATGCCTCTATAGATACTCTATAAATATGGAATAAATTCGCTAATTAAATGAGATCATTATATTTTATCAATAGCTCATATACTGGATCAGAGCTTATTTAATCTTGAATATTGATGATTTCATGGAAATAGGTACCCGTGGTCTGGATGGTCCTCCAGGACCAGATGGGTTGCAAGGTCCACCAGGTCCCCCTGGAACCACTTCAGTTGCCCATGGATTTCTCATCACACGCCACAGCCAGACAGTGGATGCACCACAGTGTCCACAAGGAACAGTCCAGATCTCGGAAGGATTTTCTCTTTTGTATGTACAAGGAAATAAAAGAGCCCATGGTCAAGACTTGGGTAAGTTAATTAATGCCTTATTTCTTCCTCTTGGGTTTGTTTCAAAAAATACTGATGGCTTTTAGAGTAACCTTATCCAAAGTATATCATTCTATTCTTTTGAGGCTTTAAAAAAGAAGACTATGACAAGGTCAACTAATCATATTCCTTTTACTTTTTGAATAAATGTTAGTTAATCTTAAACTAAAAGAATTCATTAGCTGTAATTCCTTAGCTACATTGAGGTACAATTCTTGGCCTAAAGCAAGGAATTTTCAAAAGGGCCACATTCACTTTTAGTCAGTTTATTTAATAAGGAAGTGGAGTTCCTTGGATCTGTATAGTACAGCTGCTGCTTGAATGCAGTGTTTATAATTCACGGGAGAAAGTTTTCTCTTCTCTCACACTGGTCTTTGTCAAGTTGAGAGATAAATTCTAAAGAGAATATTTGGTCATATGTCAAAGAAAGTAAGGTCATTGCTGATTTATGATTCCTAAAATAAATGTCTTAGCTTTGTAAAGTAGGATCAGAGTAGTTTAAAGCCATATTAAACATCATATTTCCATACAAAATCCAGTTCGTTTAATGTGTTCCCCCATATCTTCTCTCTGCTGAGGTAGATGGCTTGGTTAATGGAGTAATGCTGGACTAATAACTCCCAAGGACTCTTCCATATCAAAGTATTCTTACTTGTACTTTGACTTTGGATGCCAAGACCTCATCATTTGATATCAAGTTGCCTTTGTTAGGGACCATTACCTACTTTGCCTCTGTAAAGACATTCAGGAAAGTTGTGTGGGCTCCCAGTTTCTGGTATGTTTATGGTAGAAGCCACCTAGAGGTCTCATTGGCTTTCACATTCATTCTGTGCAAACAGTCTTGAAGCAGCAGAATCTTAGACATCTGCACTGCCCTCTCTACTCCCAGGATATAGTGTTATACCTGACAGCCAAATCTTGGTCCACTGGAGCAAATGCATCCACTTACATGGAAACCAGTGGTCAGAAGTCCTTTTATAATGTTAACTGAAGTAGTAATTTGCACTCCCCTCTCAATGAGGACTAAACTCAGGACCTTGACACTAAATTAAATTGCTAACCTTTCCTGTTTTGTATTAGTTTACATATTTCCCACACATAATGATCATGTGAGTCATACGAAATTTGTACCTGGACATAATATATCTTCATCCTCTTATTTTATCCATCCTCCCTTATCCTTTCAATTCTTCTTCCACTCTCCATTTACAAAAGCTTTGTTTCCATTTTCCCCTTCTTTTCTCTTTTTCTCTTCCTTCCCTTCACCCTCCTTTCTCCTCCCTTTCTCTTCACATTTGAGCATGTTCTCATTTTACTTCTTATTTACCATTTGGGTTACTCACACCAAAGAAACTGCAATATTTCAAGTTATGTATCTGATTTGCTGTACTCAAAATTATGGTGTCAAGGTACAGCCACTTGCCTAAAAAATGACTCAAATTTATCCTTCTTTATAGCAGGATAGTACTTTACTGTATGCAAATGCCACATTTTCTTTTTTTTATTCATCTGTTGATAAGAATATGCATTGTTTCTAAGATTTAGCTATATAAATTTTGCTGCTACAAACATTGGTATGTATACATCACTGTGACATGAAGCTTTTAATTATTTCAGGAAAATACTTTGAAGGAGAACAGCTGAGTCAAATGGAACCTCAATTTTTAGATTTTTTGGAATCTCCATACTGATTTCTGTAGTGGTTATATGAATTTATGTTTCCACCAATAATTGAAAAGGGTACCGTTTTTCCCACAGCCTCACCAGCATTTGTACTGGTTGATTTATTGATGATAGCTATTCTTTTTGGAGTAACACTAACTTTCAGTTTCTATAACATTAAGTGTTTCTGTTTTAATATTTAAATCTTTGATCAACTTTGATTTTAGTTTAGTACATGGTGAAAGTTACAGACCTAGGTTCAATCTTGGGCATGTGGAAAGGGAGTTTTACAGCAGCATTTACTAAAGAGGCTGTCTTTTCTTTCAGTGAAGTTCTTTGGTCCCTTTGTCAAAGGAATAGTACATGAGGATTCTTAGGGTTGTTTCTGCAACTTAATTCCCTTCCATTGATACTAGGGCCTCTTTTTTGCCAGTATCATGCTGTGTTTATTTTAATTTTTTTTTTTTTTCGGTACAGGGGATCGAACTCATGACTGCCTGCTTGCAAGGCAGGTGCTTATGCCGCTGAGCTAAATCCCCAGCCCCTCATGCTGTGTTTAACACAGTAGTTTTGTAGTATGAGTTCAAATTGGAGACTGCCTTGCCTTTGTTGCCCAGATTTTCTTTTGCTATTCTAGGAGTTTTCTGCTTCCAAATGAATTTTAGGATTGTTTTCTTTAATTTTGTGATGTATGCTGTTGGTATTTTGATTGGAATTGCATTAAATCTGTATAATAATTTTGGAGGTATAGCCATTTTCATTATATTGGTTCTAACTATCCAAGAACAGGAGGTATCTTTCCATTCTCTGATATTCGGTTTGATCTCCTTCTCTGAGAGTACTGTAGTTTTCTTTTCTTTTTTTTTTTTTTTTTGTCTTTTTCTTTTTTATCGGTACCAGGGATTGAACTAATGACCACACACTTGCAAGGCAGGTGCTTATGCCACTGAGCTAAATTCCCAGCCCCTGTAGTTTTCAATATAAAGGTCTTTTACTTCCTTCATTAGATTTATTCCTAAGTATTTAATTTTTCATGATACTATTGTGAAATATATTTTGCCCTGATTTCTGTCTCAGTCAGTTATTCGTGTACAGGAATGCTATTGATTTTTAGTGTTGAATTTGTTTCTAGCTACATTACCGAACTGGAGTATTGATTTCTAGGAGTATTTTGGTGGAGCTTTTGGATTTTCTATGTAGAGTATCATGTCATTAGCACATAATGATAAATTAACTACTTTCTTCACTGTCCATGTTCTTTTAGTTCTTTCTTTTTTCTAATTGCACTGTATATATTGAAATATCCCTAAATCCCTCAGATAAATCCTGCTTGGTCATAGCTTATAAACTTTTTCATTATTTGCTACATTCTGTTTGTCAGTGCCATACTGAGCATTTTTGCATCTGTGTTCATTAGAGAGATTATCCTGTAGTTCTTTTTTTTTTTTTTTTTTTTTTTTTTTTTTTTTTTTTAGTTGGGTCTTTCTCTTGTTTTGGAATCAGGTTAGAGATTGCTTCCAGGAATGCCTTTGGAATACTGTTTCCCTTTTAGTTTCATTAAAGTATCAGAGGAGCAGTGGCATCAGATCTCTAAAGTTCTTATAGAGTTTAGCAATTAAGGCCTGGGCTTTTTTGAATGGCAGTTGGTTAATTACTTCTTCAATTTCATTGACTGATACCGGATTATGTAGAATTTTATATCTTCTTGGTTCAGCTTTGGTGATTCATATGTATCTAGGGATCTGTCCCATTTCTTCAGAACTTCCCATTTTATTAGATGGTTCTCAATGTAGGTAGTGATCTTCTGATTTTCTGCAGGATCTGTTGTGATTTCCCACTTTTCATTCCTTTTCATATGTCCTGAGCCTTCTCTTTCCTTGTTTTTATGATTTTGGCTGAGGGTGTATCTATTTTATTTAGTCTGTCAAACAACAAACTCATTTCATTGGTTCTTTGCATTGTATTGGACTTTGAGTCTTTCCCAGGACCCTGCCTCTTCTGTTTGTTAGGGATTAAAGCTTGCAGCCTGTTTGACTTAGTACCCAGTCTTGGGTAATGGGTTATGGTACTGATTATGACTCTTAGAAAAATCTAGGTCTTGACATGCAAGAAGGATCAATTGATCACAACAACTACATTACTCTGTCTAAGGTAGTACAAATAGTAATAACAATAGCATCAAACACAGACAGGAAAATTACAAATTGCAGTAACTAGTAATTTCCCAGTTAACCATAGGTATAAGATTTTATAGTTATATAACAAAATCTAAAACCAATCCAAAAATTATATACAGTAAGTATCTACCCAATAGAGCAGTTTTATCCTAAAGGGAGAAAATTTAAAAATAAAAAGAGAAAAATAAAGAAATAAAAGAAGAAAAAGCAGTTAAAAGCAAGCCTAAAGGAAAGAAAGATTACCCAAGTTTCAGAAAACTGGTGAAGGAAAGAAGGAATAAAAAAGAACAAAACAAAATACTAATACTAATGTTCACACTCACAAAAAATCATAAAAATAAAACCAAACAAACAAGAGAAAATAAGGTTTGAAAAAGTAATGAAAGCAAGAAATTTCTCTGTGTTTTCAAGCCTGTGATTGTCTTTTAAGGTCTCTAGTTTTGTGGCAGTATCCAATTCAAGACATGACTCTGCTCTGTGGGGAGACAAAAGAGGCAGTTAGAGTTCAGATCCTGTGCTGGATAATCACCAGCAAGTTAACAATAGAACTTGGGTCGGGTGCTGGTTTGGGAACTTATAAATGCACAGAAATTCAGACTGAACCTGACCTCTGGTCATGGGGATAAGGCCTGAGTCATTTCGTATACAACACTTTGGGTGTCTCTTGCAGCCTGTCCATGGCTCTCTAACCACGTTCCTTATCCAGTCACAGTGGGAGTTTAGTACTGGGAACTCTGAGATGAAGCCAACCCAAAGCTGCTCTAAGTCCTGAGTCCTGGGTCCCAAGAATTACATCTGAGCAAGCAACCTTGACAGGGGACATGGCTGTTACTTGGACTGAAGTCACTCACCAGTTGTTCCACTGCTCTGTTCCACTGGTGCATTTCTCTCTCAAGGCTGCTGGAGTCATCTACTTTCACTGTGTCACTGTAGATTCAATCTTTTCTTTTCATGCCACAAGCCAGGAGCTGGGAAAGTACAGATTGCCCTGTCCTTTGTCTGAGTCATGGTCTCTCTCTTCCATTTCTCTGTAAGCTCCAACTTGCCTTTCAGATCCTTCCTGAGTCCTAGGAATCCACCTTCCTCCTTCTCTTCTTCTCTAAGTTGTAATTTACCAGTATCTGGATCCAAAATCTTCAAGAGGCTGATTTGTTGCTGCTTAATACTCTGCCCTCTTCCTGAAAGTCCTACTCCCTTTTAGAGACAGGGTATCTCTAATTGACTTAATATTTTTTTTTTTTGTACCAGGACCTTGTACTTGCCAAGCAGGCTCTGTGCTACTGAGCTATATCCCCAGCCCTAACCTGACTTAAATTTAGTCTTTATACTCCAGCCTCCCACTATGTCCAGCTTTCTGCTTTTATCTTTCTTCTCGTCTTTCCTGTTACCTTTTTTCTCTATTGCATCTTTCATGTTAAATCATATTTTTCAAATTTTGTAACTGATCTTCACTAAATTAATTAATAAGCTATATTTAGATAACCTAATTAAAAATTTTAAAAGTCTCATTAAATCAATACCTTTCTCTTTTTTTTGTCTTTTTCCTTTTTATCGGTACCGAGGATCGAACTCACGACTACCTGCTTTCAAGGCAGGCACTTATGCCGCTGAGCTAAACCCCTACACCCAAATCAATACCTTTCAATGATTTTATCTAGGCTTTTCCCCTTAACATTCTTGTTCTTTTGTCCATTTTAACTCTTCACTGAGTCTGACTTATGATGAAACTTGTAAACTTCAAATCTATAACCTATCAAATCAATAGAAAATCTGTTAGACAATTTTAGCATTCTGAAATTTCAGATTTTTTTTTTCTTTCATATTGGGAATCAAACTCTCAACCTGATGCTTTCCAGGCAGGCACTGTGCTGCTGAGCTATATCCTTGACCCTTACAATGTGTATTGGTGTGGTGTATTGGTGTAGTGTATTGGTAAGTGGTGTTCCACTTAAACATGAGCTGAACTGAATCAACTTTGTGCTGAACGTAGATGGCCCACCTGAGAAAAGTTGCCAGCATAAAAAGGGAGACGTGGAGAGGAAAAGTAGCACTGCAGGTTCCCCTGTGTTGTTATTGTTTGGAGCTGTTGGTTCTCCTGGAGAAGCTTGTCATGGCTAGCTTTCCTGGTAGGAATTTGGCCATTTTCATCAGAGGAGCTCAGGACCTTGTTGCTATGGCTGGCTGCAATTCACTTCGAGAGAGCTCTGGTCCTTACTTTGAGCATTGCTTCCTGGCTCTGGAGGGAAAGATATGTGCTGTTTAATCTCCAGAAGCTTGTCATTCTAGCTTCCTGATATGTACTCGGCTGTTCTCATCATCAGAGGAGCTTGGAACTTCATTGTTGCTCAGGATGGCTGTGGTACTTTTCAGGAGAGCCCTGGCTTTTATTTTGAGTTCCTGCACGGCACCTTAGCCTGCTGGCCTAGACTTTCTAGCTTTTGCAGATGACCCTTAGGCCTTCCCAGTACAGATCCATGAAATAGCTCATATAGCTGTATGGTTTCAGCTGAACTCATGCAGTTTATTGCCATGGGGTCCAGGCCCTCAGATAAATTTTCTAGATCTTTAGTGTTGTGGACAGATTTCCTGCACTTTCTTTGTATTCGAATCCTTAGGTGATCATTATAAAAAAACACTATAAATTATGTGTTCTGTATTATCTTATTCTCCTTGTAACCCCTGGCTGAAACATTTTTATTTAATTTCATTTTATTTTATTTGTACTTGGAATTGAACTTAGGATCTTGCACTTGCCAGGCAGGCACTTGTGCTACTGAGCTATATTCTGCCCCTGAAATTTTAAAATGTAATATAAACAGAAAGTGTGATCTGCTCCCTAGTGCGTCATCATAACTTTTGAGCAGGCCTCTGTTAAATCAAGAGTTCAAATTTATATTGTTCTGACTCTAATACAGTTTAGACTTCAGACACAGGAAGGCCAAGACAGGCCTCAAAATTCAGAGAGTAGTTCTCAATTCCAGGTCCTGGATTCCAGGGGTTTTGCAAGGGCTCATAAAATGATCAAATTAGAGTTATCTTGATGGGTCAGCAAACAATAGGGGTAGTTATAGTTTTGTTGTTAAACAACAGTCACCTGATCCAATAAATACAGTCTGTTGTGGATTAGCGAAAGGGTTATACAAAGAGGGTAGAAGAAAAAAATACAAAACTAAAGCTTTGTTATCTCATAGGGGGAAAAAACATGTGAAGAACCGTTAGTCTTTTTCTTTATGAGACTAGGGGTATTTCTAGCTGTGACCCAAATTAAGTTAGTTTTCTTTTTAAATTACAATGTAATGTACAAGGCATGTTTGCATCTATTTTCTAATTGGATTGTTCAAAATAGTGATAAGGAACTATATGAGAAGAATACTGTTTTTGTTTTTTCATTTTATACATAAAGAAACTGGTTAATGTGTTAACTAATATATTAAAAGTCACACAGGTAAAAATGTATGGAAATGAAGCTTGAATCAACACTTGCCAATTCTACATCTGTCCTTTTTTAAAAATTATACCATGTTGGCATTCATTTTCATGTGATCTTGACACAGTCACTTCTCTGAACAAGTTTTTTCTCCAAGAAAAATGAACAAATTAGACTAATTCAGTAAGTTCAAACCTGGAAAATTTTGAAAAGATTCCTAAGCCCTCTCAAACCTATTATTAACAATTCCAAATTATTTTGATGCCTTATGGTCTTTTATCAGGGAATCTTTAAGTCTGAGATAAATATACTCCTTTGGATGCATGAAGAATTTCCAAGAGATACTTAAGAATTAGTTTTAAAGTCCTCCAGTTTCTTTTATATTTTCTGCTAAAGCCTACCTCTCTGTGGATATGCTGTGGGTAATTACCTTTGTCATACACCTTTTACCATTATTCAATACCAACTTTATAAAAGAATCATATTATGTCACATTGCATTGAAATGTAAAAACCTCTGGAAGATGAATTCAGAGACCATTCAAAATAATGGTTTCATTAAAGTTCCAATTAACTGAAGCTCTTAACTCAGTTCTAATCTATCTCATTAAGAAATGTATTCTTGGCTCCTCTAGTCCTAGCACTTTGGAAAGCTAAGGCAGTAAGATCTCAAATTTGAGTCTGGCCTGGGCAATTTAGTGAGTTATCAAGACCCTTTCTCAAAAGGATGGAGGGTTAGATATGTAGCTCAATGTGAAGACTGTGGATTGATTGAATCACCAGTACTCCCCCAAGTGAATTTTGGAAACAGGGTTGTTGCTCACTGGTACAGCACTTCCTTGGCATGTGCAAGGGTCTGGGTTCAATCACTATCTCTGCAAACAAAAGAAAAAAACTTCTAGTAATACTTTACTTTTTGGTTAGTAATTATCCAATTTTATAATATATTTTTATCAATTTTGAATGAATGTCTACTGTCACAATATGTCAAAATAAAATATGTAGCTAGTACATTAAAGCCTTATGGTCACAGAAAGTTTTAAAACTTATTTTACATTTTTAATTTAGCAAAATAGGATGATCAATGCAAGATTTTTTTTACAAAGCAAATATATTAGAATTAAACCATGTGAAAAATGGAACAAAAATAAAATTTCCAAATGCAAAAGGACCAACATAGAATTTCTAGCTGTTAAGGAGTATTTTTTAATGTTTTTAAATGATGTTTTAAATTATTACATTGACTATCTCTAAAAGAGTGCTAAAAAGTTTGTTTTTAAATACTGGTATTCAGAAAACATCAGAATGACAGTTAGCATTCCTTATTCACTTCCAAACATATCTGTGATTGTGGTGGATAGTGTTCAGTGCTGTCATCCCTAGGCTTAAAAAGACTGCTAACCTACCTAAAACACAGTGAGGATATCTTAGAAAAAAGGACAGCCACAAGCATGAAGTATTAATATGATATGGTCAAGACTCTCTGTGCCCTTTTTGTGCACAATAAACAAAAAATATACTTTGTAAGACATAATTGTTTATAAATTGCATCACAGATTTAAAAACTACTCTGGGGGGTATCTAATGGACTATAACAACAAATGTCAGCATAAATTACAAACTGCATGCTGGTTTTAGAAATGTTAAAATATGAATACATATTAGAATTTAAGAAATAAAATGTCTTTATTATCTAAGAAATATGGGGAACTTTTATTTTGAAAGACTCTTTGATATTATTTTAGAGGAAACTAAAGTATCTTTATGATGTACTCTTTCATCTTTTCTTCCAATTCTTCTCAGGGACGTCTGGCAGCTGTCTTCGTCGCTTTAGTACCATGCCTTTCATGTTCTGCAACATCAATAATGTTTGCAATTTTGCTTCAAGAAATGACTATTCTTACTGGCTTTCTACTCCAGAGCCTATGCCAATGAACATGGAACCCCTGAAGGGTCAGAGCATCAAGCCATTCATCAGTAGGTGAGGCATTGATTTAGCTTTGACTTGTACCAGTCTCCATTAGTTTAGCTAGGCAGAAATCAACGTAAAGCCTGTAAAGTTATGATACTCCTCCCAGATTAGGTAGACAGGTTTGGCTTTTAATATTCAATTCAGTATTTAGCTCAATATCTGATTTTGGGGAAATTTGCTTTGGATGATGTCCTATAATACACATAGAGTAATATACAAAGAACTCATAATCATCAGGCATATATATTAATATTAACATATACTAGTCTGATATACAACAAGTATGGAGTAAGTGCTATGATAGAACAGATAAAAATGTTATGAAAACATAAGAGAAGAGATGTAGCACTTAATTCTACATGGAGAAATCTGTGATGAGTATATGTAATAAATAGTTTTAAATTGGCTTGTCCTTCATGTACTAAAAGGACCTGAAGCAGAAAGATGTCTAGGTAGAGAAAATGAGTAATAAATTAATAAATCTATAATATAACGTTTAAAGGTTGCATAGGTTATAAAGGCTGGAAAGTCAGTTTAGGCTAACTTTTATTTAAATAAAATTGTAGACTTTCAGTGCCAAATTGCAATTTGGTATTTACTTTTTGTTTCATAAGTCCCCATTTTCTGGCTGTATTTCAGAGAACATTAAAAAACCATCAGTGTGTAACATAGATTATAAAAAGGATAATCCTGAGGCATAGAAATTAGTTGAATAATAGGTATTGCTATAGTTCTGATGTGAATGGACTGGATTTCACATTGACGGACATGTGTCACATTATTCAAATAAAAAGGAGTTGGAAGTTGAATGGCTGTGTGAAGGAGAAAGTGATAGTTGAGGTCCCGCACAAACTAAGAGGACGATGGTACCACTAGAGTTTTTCTGGAAAACTGCCATTTTGAAGCCCTAGTCTAACTATTTGAGGCATACTGGGTAGTGCAACTCCTATTCTGATTATGAGACAGGGCTGTAGCAGCTATAAATGATGCATCCCTGAAAAGTCCGTGTAGTGAATTGGTTAACTGGTGGTCAACTTAAACACCGGCTGAACTGAATCAGTATTGTGCTGAGCATAGATGGCCCACCTGAGAAAAGTTACCAGCATAGAAAGGTGACCAGGACAGGAAGAGTAGCACTGCAGGTTCTCCTGTGTTGTTATTGTTTGGAGCTGTTGGTTTTCCTGGAGAAGCTTGTCATGGCTAGCTTCCCTGGTATGAATTTGGCCATTTTCACCAGAGGAGCTCAGGACCTTGTTGCTAAGGATGGCTGCAGTTTACTTTGGGCCGGCTCTGGTCCTTACTTTGAGCATTGCTTCCTGGCTCTGGAGGGAAAGATGTGTGCTGTTTAATTTCCAGAAGCTTGTCACTGTAGCTTCCTGATATGTACCCGGCTGTTCTCATCATCAGAGGAGCTTGGGACCTCATTGTTACTGAAGATGGCTGTGATACTTTTCAGGAGAGCCCTGGCTTTTATTTTGAGCATTGCTTCTTGGCCTCCTGGCAGAGATCCTTCACCCCGCTGGCCTAGACTTTCTAGCTTCCACAGATGACCCTTAGGCCTTCCCAGTGCAGATCCATGAAACAGACTTGCCTGAGTCATTGACTTCAGCTCTAGACCTCCATTTGTCTCTTGGGAGGCATTGTCATGGGTTCTAGGTCTTCAACTGGACTCAGGCAGGACATTGCTGTGGGATTCAGGACCTCAAATGGATTTTCTAGGTCTTTAGTGTTGTGGACAGATTTCCTGCACTTTCCTGTACTTAACTCTGGGTGGCCATCATAAAATAATACAAATTTTGTGTCCTGTATTGTCTTGTTTGCCTTGCAACCCCTGATTACACAGTTTAGCTTTTCTGGCACTCAATCTAAAGAATAAACCTTCAGAATCAAATCCATATGTCTAAGATGTCAGAGAGAGAAGGAGAAGGGGGGATGGGGAGAGAGAAGAAGGGAAAGAAAGAAAGGAGAGAATATTTTTGTCAGTGTCAATTTGGGGAAGTAAACTGTTATTTAAATATATATATATATATATATATATATATATATATATATATATACTGATAAATTGGCCTTAGTCATGCTCTCTATTAATGACCTGATAGACTGATCTTTATTTACTTCATTGTTATTTTACTTTATTTGATAGACTCAACTATATCTCCAAGTGCCTGATTTCTTGTCCAGAATTCTGGGTATACTGTATTTACTTATCTATGACCAAGTGGCTAATAAATTTTCCTTAGAACAAGGATAAAGAGTGGAGATTAAGAAAGTGTCTACGGTCTTTTTCAGTTTACCAGACATTGTACTTAACACAGTAGCAGCATTACTGAATGTCAACCTTCCATTTGGGCAGCTTGACAGCAAATAGTGTGTACAATATACAAACCCAAACTGTTAGGTCAGTTATGGCATTGACTATAGCATATATAAATAAAGGTTTGGGGAAGTTTAGAAAAAAATGCTATAGAATTGGTTCTACTTTTTCTAGAAAATGTTTACATCTAGTATATAATTGTATTATGTATATTGTGAGACAGTGCTTATGGAAAATCAATGCTTAAAGGGAATTCTCTCCTTTTCTGAGACTTGAAGATATTTTAATGGGCCTCTATACCAGGAAGGCTTCCAAAGGAGAGAGATTACTCATTCTCTCACACTCATTCTGTTCTCTCTCCCATTCTCTTTACCAGATGTGTAGTTTGTGAAGCTCCAGCCATGGTGATTGCAGTTCACAGTCAGACCATTCAGATTCCTCACTGTCCTCAGGGATGGGATTCTCTGTGGATTGGTTATTCCTTTATGATGGTATGAAACACACTTTCTTGCCTTTATCTTTATAGCTGACTCTCCATCATGGGTATAATTTCTCCTCAATTTAAGGAGTTCTTGTCACTTTTATATAGTAAGAATCTTGAGGTTAATATAGCTTGTGTCTATAAATATTTTCATAATCTGCCTGTTTCTTTGATTGGCTATCCTTGATATGAATGCTATTCTTTTACTTTTAGTCCTAGTCCCCTTCACTGGATTTGAGTTTTTGGTTAAACTACGTACATATCATTGACTAATCACTAAGATATTATGGCGCATGAGTATAATAGCACTTTTTTGTCTTTTCTAGCACACAAGTGCAGGGGCAGAGGGCTCAGGTCAAGCACTGGCCTCACCTGGTTCCTGTTTGGAAGAGTTTCGTTCTGCACCCTTCATCGAATGTCATGGGTTAGGAACCTGTAACTACTATGCCAACTCCTACAGCTTTTGGCTGGCAACTGTAGATGTATTAGACATGTTCAGGTAAAGTGCTATGGCTTTTCTTGAAGTCCAGAGCTTCCTCAGAGATGCTAGGGAAGGCAGAAGCAATTCGTGGATGGTTTATCACCAGCATAGTTAGGAATATATTGAACTGTGTCCTTTGTTCTTGCTTGTTCTCCTCAAGCTCCTAAATCGGGTTGGAAAAGCAAACCTAACTAATATTGAGTAAATAAGAATCCTTGAATAACAAAACAGACAGAGATAAGGAAATGTCAGATGATCTGCTCAGTAATAAATGTCAGCAGCTGTACTACTATAATGAGACCACCATAAGAATTGAAGCTGTCCTTTGTGTTTTTTCCTCTATGGCAATGATTTCCTTTTCAAAAATTTTTTAAAAGTTCTAATCTAAGGGTTTGAATGAGTGAAACAATGCATCATACACATACCTCAGGATACTCCAATCCATTGAAATTATTTTCAGATTAAATTTGTTGTTTAATTAGTACATGTTTGCAGTGATTACATTTATCATAGGAAGTTGGTACATGATCATAACACATCTTAATTCTTTTGTCTTCCTCTACCCCCTCATCTCTCCCTGCTTCTTCTATCTCTTAGTCCCTGTCCCATTTACAAACACTCTATTTCCATTCTTTCATTTTTCATTTCCTTCCCACCATCTCTTGCCTCCCTTCCCATTACAAAAAGATCTCCCTACATCTTATTATCTATATTTCATTTTGCTCTTCATTTACAGTATTGGTTTCTTATTTAAGAGAAACCACATAATATTTGTATTGTTTATATGATTTATTTCATTTAATATTATGGTCTCAAGTTACATCCAGTTTCCTAGAATGCCTCAAGTTTATCCTTTATGGAAGAGTAGTACTCCATTGTGATAAATACATTTTCTTTATCTACTCATCTATTGATGGACATATAGGCTATTTTTAAGATGTAGTTATTATAAAATGTTCTGTTGTAAACATAGGTATACATGTATCATTGTAATATGGTACATTTAACTATTTCTGGATTTATTTTTTTTCTGTTGGGTCCCTTTGAATTATCATTACTTGACGTTTTTTTCATAATCTTTATCACATGTCAGTCATCAGTTTCCTGAATCTCTTTCCTTATACGAATATTAGAAAAAGATATCAGATAAAGAGTGAGAAATAGAAATATATGCAAACATAATAGTGGCAGAGAAAACAGTCACAAAAATACATATGAGCAGTAAAGATTTTTAGCCAGTTCTAGTCATTAGTATGTATCATGCTGCTGAAAAAGGAACCATTATGTTATCAGGTGAGCTACTTCAAAAAGAAAGGCATGTATGGATATTAATTTGAAGAGATAATAGTATTAAAATACCAGAAAAGATAAAGAATTGATATCAGAAAAGATGAATCTTACTTTCTTGTTTCTTTTTTTCTCAGTAAACCTCAGTCAGAAACACTGAAAGCAGGAGATTTAAGGACACGTATTAGCCGATGCCAAGTATGCATGAAGAGAACATAACATTTTGAAGAATCACTTGTGTGTTTTAAAATGTGATATATATATATATATATATATATATATATATATATATATATGTATATATCTTATGTATCAAATGCCCAGGATGCAATGTCTCACTCTTCCCAACTTTACCACTGCTGCCATCAATGGTGCTACTATATATGACCAAGACAGCATGCTGATTAGTAACCATGAAGATTGAAATGTACCTCAGCAGTGTACCAGAGAAAAACCTCTGTTATTTTGCTGTGTGAATTTACTTTTTGGGTTCAGAATGACTGTTTCTGAGGATTATAAAATGATTATATATTTTACCCAGTTACTAAAATGGTACATTTAAAAATCAATTAATAGAAAAATCATACTGAGTAAAATAAAAGACTGCAGCTTGGGGGAAGAATTATTTTTCATGGTGCTACTAATCCTACGATATCCCAAGATTTTACTGTAAAAGTATTAGGGTTACTGTGCTCTGTAAGTAAAGAATGTGTATATTGTATAAACAAGCTTTTAGGTAAAAAATGTTGTCATTTCGGTGTGACCTGGCATGAATCACTTTACAGAAAACATAAGAAAGCCTAGAATCAGACAGCAAGATTTTATATGTGAGGGAATTTATATTCTTACATCAAGTTACTACTGAAGTAAATGTAAGTTTTCTTTCCCAATTTCTTATTTGATTTTTTTATAGTGGGAATTAAATACAGAACCTCACACTTGACAGGCAAGGGTACTACGCTGCTGAGTTAAATTCCCAGCCCTTATTTCATTATTTTTAAAAACAGATTGTTTTAGTCACTTTAATCATGATTCTAAAAGTTCATGTTCCATATCAAATTATAATATCCAATGGAGCTATTTCCTTTTTTTGTTGTTGTGTTCTCCAAAACACTCTTGACAAGAGATGCCCTTGTTTTAATATTTTTTACATCTTGTTTTTGTTCATCCCAGACTGTGCAAATTTCTCCCCAATTTTGAAAAATGAAATTTTTCAAAAAAATTTAATAAGTCTTTTCTTGGTGCTTCTTGTGTAAAAACTCTTCTCTTGTGTTCACGCTTGTGTAAAAACTAGAAAGACAATAATTGGTTAATCATTTTTTTCAATTACCAAAAAAATTGGATTTTTTTACCCTTTTTATTTTAAACATTTTGTTATAGTCATAGGATACCTTATTCCCTTACTTGTCACTGTCTTACTGAATGTTTTTTAACCTACCAATATTGATTTAATTAAAAATATATGTTTTAAGGATGGTTGTTGTGTGTCTCTTCAGCATATGTGTTAAAACAAAAATAACAAGAAATCTGCTTGCTTTCAGATAGACTACCATCTGCATATCAACAAATATTCCTTTCTTAGTGAATTGGTTTCTGTAGGCTTTGACCATTCTGGGAGCTGTTAGAAAGCACATAGTAAATCTTTTTCCAAAGAAGAAAACCCACTGAATGGCACTTTTGGCATAATAAATCTTTTGATAACATTTTGTTGATGGCTGAAAACGGGAAAACTAGTTTCTGTTTGAAGAATTCACTAATAATGTTTAAAGGACTTAGTGAGTTATCATTCCTAATAATTAAAATGGAACCACATGTAGGTCTCTAAAATAGTCAAGAACTTGCTAAAAATGAGGCACTAGAAGCCTTTATAATTTATATTACATCTACAATATAAAACAACCAAAACACTTTGCAAATTGTAGTCCCTAAAATGAAGCCTTGCAAAATCTAAAGCTTAGCACTGTAGTGGTTTGGAATGTAAACAGTGTTAATTATATAATAAGTTGATTTTGGTTAGCCAGTTGCAAATTTTAGCTTTATTTTTCTGTGTAGGCCCATGCCTGAAACTGAAAACACAGACTTTTCAAAATTCCTTGAGTTATATTTGCAAAAACTGATTGCAGGAGGCCTGCTGTTTGTTGCTTTTCCTCTCACTGAAAACCTTGGCTCAAAATGAACTTCCTAACTTTAAAATTATTGCATATACTGCTAATTTAGGTTCTTCATAAATCCTTTTAACTCTCCCATCCCTGCTTTGTTTGAAGTACACAAACCCATCCATTTCAGTGCATTAGTGTTGTTGAGCATTTTTTGTCAATGATTATTAAAAAAATTATTCCAATGTTAGGTGTTTTACAATTACCTTTGATGAGTTTATTCATCACAGTTAATAGTTTTCCCACGTGGGCAACAATGAATGAGCTGTTTTACTTAATCAGCTAGTTTAATATAACCAGGTTTTGCCAGTTAATATTTTGAAATTTACATATTACATGCATGGCACCAAATCCAGATGTTCCCCAGGTCTCCAGAAGAGTTGGACCCTCATCTTTTGAAAATTATACTGCTGATACATACTAATTTGGAAGAAAACATCTATCAGTAACTCCACATGAGGATACACGTATAATAGATAGATAGATAGACAGATTGATATCCCAGAGAAAAGTGTACATGTCTTCTGCTTTTATTGCTTATTAGCTTGATCTGCATTCTAATACCACAAGAGGAATCTGCCAAGTCAGGTTTACATGCCTACAGTCAATGAAACGCCATATAATGTTACTGGTTGTAAAATGGGCAGTTTATTAGTGATTGTCTTACTTGCAGAATATATGTGAAAAGTGAACTTGTGAAAGTGCTTTAGACCTGTTTCCTTTTTGCTCACTAAGTAATGGAGTGATGCTTACACTAGGGATGATGGAAGACAGGGCAGGCTGAAAAGCCAAAGACAGCTTGAAGCTACATACTAATTTTTATCAGGGCCTTGTAGAGTCTACCAAGAAGTAAAGATACTTTCCTTTTAGGTAACGGAGTTTTCTGGTTGATTTCTCTAGAACAGTGAAATGCTAACAATTGCCAGTCTATCATAAACCACAACAGTAAACATAAATATCAGATCTTTGTGTCTTTTTCTGATATAATAATTTGACGTTTGCTTGGGCTTTAAAAACAAAGCTATATCCAACTTCTCACTAGCAAAAACTGTAACAACTTATAGCCACAGAGCTCTCACTAAAATGCTATTCCTCACACATTTCATCTGAACCAGAACAAATCTGATGCATTCAAGCAGCACAAGAATTGGCCTCCAAATTACGGATGCAGAAAGTGTGGTGTGGGATTGTTAACTAATTTTCCCAAGGTCATTGGACAAATTGCTAAATTCTTTTGTGCTCAAAATCTAATCTAGTCACAAAGATGCCTATTTCAAAAAATGCAGAATTCAGTGTGATAGTAATTCATTAATGGTCTACTACAGGGATCCATGACTCATGAGAAACAACAAACTTCATGTTATGGAAAGCTGTGTTCCCAGACAGGATGAAAGCTTTTTCTAACACCCTTGCAGCACCTGAGACCCTTTAAAATTAGCCCTCAAACAGAGAATGGGTAGTCAATTTGTTGTACCTCGGCATATTTTTGACCCTTTGGTCTAGGCCTCTAGCAGAGGAAAAACTTTATATTGTCTGGCCAAGTGCCTCATGTGAGACTCCTCAAAGCTCTTGAACCCATATGAACTCATGGAGTAATTAATTCTCGACAAACTCTACAGTGCAGCTGGTCCCCAAGTAAGCACCACTTACGTGAATCTGAGACCAACTGTAGAGTATCTATCATTTATTACAGACAATGCAGAAAGAACTCTGTGGAGGAGGAAATATCTTTAGTTCCAATAAGAAATTTCATTTTATCCTACTTATACTGCATATGCTTACACACAAAAGGTACTTGGGTTTGCTAACTATGCCCTCTGTGGGTGATATTTCACATGTAATAATTTTCCTTATTTGATTCCCTTCAGCAGAAAAAACGGCTGAGAAGAAAAAAATATCAAGCCAAATGAGACAAAGGGTACAGAATTGTTTATCATATTAGAGAGAGAGAAAAGCTTAAAGCAAAGTTGAAAAATCTCTAGGCCAAAATAGAGCCCTGCTTAGCCTTCAATAAACAGGAAATAAGAGGCTATAAGAGGCTATTTACAGATGTGGCAGCTGTTGCATAACCTTAAGGCCAGAAGCAGCACAAAAAATTCCATCTATGTAAGTGATGACAGCCTGAGGTCATTTTCACAAATATGTTCTTCACCTACTGTGAAAAACCTGCATTTTATTTTACATAATCTTTAAGCCAGTAGAAACAACCATGAGTGTATAAAAATGTGCTGAGGCTTTTCTCTATGCAGTTCTGTTTTTGCCTCACTTATTTTGAAAATCTGTTATTAGATGCATAGATATTTATAATTATTAGGTCCTCAATAAGATGATTCCTTTATCATTATAATCATAGTAATTAAAGAAAGTTTTGTTATTATTTGCACTAAATTGTGCTTGTTTAGCCATATAGTCATTCAATTTTATTTGTGCTTGTGTCAACATTTATAGTTTTTCCATTAATTTACTTTAAATCCTTTTCTGTCTTTCTATTGTGATGCATTTCTTGAGGGGCCATATAGTTGAAATAATTTTTGCCTTTTAATAGAATACAGTTTATGTGGTTGTTTTAATGATTAAGTTTAAATTATCATCTTATTTGTTTTTACTATCTATACTTTGTTCACTTTATATGCCTTGTTTTTATTAAATTATTTTTCTGGTTACATTTTATTTCCTTCATAGCATATTAACTATATTTTGCTAAGCTAGTATAGTGGCTTCTCTAGAATTTATGATATATACATAAATCATATATATATATGATATTTATTACAATCTGTATCCAAATCATATACCACTATTACATGTGTACTGTAAGAATGATAAACTACCATACTTTGAATTCTGCCCACTTGAGCTTTGAGCTATTGTTTTCACACACTATGCTTTTAGTATATTATGAACCCATACTACACTGATAATATTTTTAATTAAGAATGCATTCACTGTTTTATTAACTATAACTCACATACTATAAAATTCACCCTCTTAAAAAGTTTAATAGTTTTTAATATTTATAAAGTTGTTCAACCCCTCACTAATTCCCAAACATATATATTAATCAAAAAGAAACTCCATCCCTATTAGAAGTTATTTTCCTCATCTTTTTCTTCCGCTGGTCCTAGGCAAACACTAACATAATTTACGTATCAATAGATTTGCTTCTTCCAAATATTTTAATTATCATAATTTTATCAAGTTTCTCATCCATGTTGTAGTATGTTCCAATACTTCATTCCTATATTTTTAGATTGAGATATTCATGTCACTTAAAACTAATGATTTTAAAGTAAAAAAAAAAATAGTGGCATTTAGTACATTTGCAGTGTTGTGCAGCCATCACAAATTTTTATGATTTTCTGCATTTTTTGCCAATATTTTATTGAGAATTTTTGCATCTATCTTCATTACGGAGATTGGCCTGTAGTTCTCTTTTTTTGTTGGATCATTCTGTGGTTTTGGTATTAAAGAAATACTTGCTTCCAGGAATAAGTTAGGGTGCATGGCTTCTGATTCATTTTCATTGAAAAGTTTGTGGAGTGTCAGCATTGTCTTCTTTGAATTTCTTGTAAAATTTGGCAGTGAACCCATCTGGACCTTGGCTTTTCTTTGTAATTTTTAAATACATTTTCAATTCACTAATTGAAATTGGGTTATTCAGCAGTTTTACATCTTCTTGGTCCAGGTTTGGCTATTCATATGTTTCTAAGAATCTGTCTACTTCTTCTGTGTTTTCAAGCATATGTGAGTAGAGGTTTTCAAAGTAGGCATTAAGGAGCTTCTTTTTTTCCACAGGGTTTAGTGATTTTACTCTTTTCATTCCTTATTGCATTAATTTGAGTTTTTCATTTCCTTTTTAAAATAAGATTGGCGAGGGGCTTATCCATTTTATTCTTTCAAAGAACCTACTCTTTGATTCATTGATTCTTTGTATTTTTTTAGTCTATTGAATTGATTTCTGCTCTGATCTTCATAATTTCCTCCCTTTTTTGGCTTTGGCCTTGACTGGCTCTTCTCTTTCTAGATGTTTGATGTGTAACATTAGGTTGTTTATTTGTGTTTGTTCTGTTTTCCTGATGTGGGTACACAGTGCAATGAATTTTCCTCTGAGGACTGCTTTCATCGCATCCCACAGGTTCCAGCAAGTAGCTTTTATATTTTCATTCGCTTGTAGATATTGTTTAATTTCCTCTATGACCCACTGATTGCTCATGAGTGTATTATTCAATTTTTATGTGTTTTCCAGGGTTTTGCAGTTTCTTCAGTCATTAATCTCTAGTTCATGGCCTTAAGATCTGATAACATGCATGGCATA